ATGATATTTTACTATTTTTCCACTTTGTCTTCCACTTTGTTATAAAGGTATATTTATGAAAAAAATATGTAAAATATATATAAATATTTTTTTCAGAGTATATGCAGGTAAACAGTACATATGCTTCTACTTTGGTTAGGGCAACATTTACTGCTACTCAGTTAAAAATGGTGCATCTCTGAATTTTGCTGTATATTTTCAAATTTTCTGTCATTTCTGCAGCCTCATAGCCTGCACCCTCAGAAGTTACACTACTAAACTTCAAGAGCATATTTCAATAAACCTCTGCCACCTTTACAGTGCCTCACATGAAACTTCTTCATTTTATTTTCTCCTCTAAAATAGGCCCATCCCAGTTCTGAGTCTTCATATTTTCTATTTAAAGTCAATTTTTGTTCCATTTTAGCCTTTCTTCAGACATGAATGTGTTCTGTGCTCCTAGTATATTCTGATTTCATGCTGTGCAATCCATATTTCTCAAGGGTCCCTGTGACACTGTTTCATTGATACTAGCAGTTGTTCACTGTTATGCCAATCTAGGCTGAACATTTCCATGACTCCAGAAAAAAAGTTACCAGAAAATCACTCTGGATTACACCTTGCCCAGAAGTTACTAGTTTAATACAAAAAGATAGACATGGAGAACAAACCATTTCTGAGCAGGAAAACTCATTAAATCTATTTTCTGTGTATGGAGAAAGAAGCAGGAAAAGTTATATTATGATCTTTAAGTCTAATTACATTGTGGAATACAGACAATAAAACTAGGTTTGAAATTCATCAGATTTTCATCTTTAATGGAAAAAAATAGTGTAATTCAGCTCTAGAATGTAACTAAATGCCAGGCTCAACTAGCTGATGCTATAGCTTTGCTCCAAGCATTCATTTTGTACAAGCACATAACCATAATGAACACTCCTCTGCTTCCCTGTTTCAGAGATTGAAGCTGCACAAATATAAAACAGTTTTTGACATCAGGTGGGATATGCACTTGATGTCAAAAAGACCTGCCACAATATTGTAGAGAAAAAGTATTTCACCCTACTGCTTCATATGCAAAGACAAAAACACATTCTAGGTGTTTACTTGTCAATTGGCTGATCTGAAAGGGGAAGAAATTAATGAGAAAATTCATGCAGAATGAAAAATAAAATATCAATAATTACAAAAAGTATTGCAGAAATTAAGGAATGCCTGTTCTGTGTTCTGAAATATCCCAGAAAGTATTATTCCATTTCAAAGGTAAAAGAGAAAAATTTGTACCTGCTAGTACATCATGGTACATTTGAAAATACCACTGCACATAAAAAAATGATAAAATCTTTAAAGCTCTCCGAAGATGCTCAGGCTGACATCCTGTGCTTCAAATATAAGAGAAACATGCAATGGGTTTGTAAGTTTTTTTTAAATTTTGACAGGTTTAAAATTAACTGTATTCTAAACAACAAATTAGAACTGTGTCACAAATTCCTTTTTTCTATGTTACTGGAAGCAAGAACCTAAGGCAATGCATCTCAAGAGCTTCTTTGGTTGTTTCTGACATACTCTGACAAGAAGTAATTACAGGCCACATACATTCTTTCACAACCTTTTCTGAAGTAGCTTTTAAAGACAGATAATACAGGGCTCCTTGTTTTTCACCTGTCAGCACTCTCCTGCTCAGAGCTGCTGCTGTTTCTTGCACACCTAGGCAAGAACCATCTCTGGGGAAGAAGTTATGCAATGTGACCAGGAGGAGACTCTAGGAAACCAAAAGCATCTTAGTCTAAACCTAACAGAGCCTTGGTGATGAGGCAGATTTCACACATACAGGTTTTTCTCTGTGATAACTGTATCAGTTATTTACTATGGTCTGCCAATGTTTGGATATGCTGAACATTCTGGATAACTCAGAAACTTCAGCCTCCACATGCTCCCAGATCAGGAGTCACGCAAGAAGAGCAAAGTGAGTGTCCCGGGAGTCACTGTGGCCAGTGCTTGCTGTGAGGGCCAGGATAACTCACTGCATGGCCCTCTAGCTACAAAAGGTGAGTTGCAACCCATGCCCAGGAACTGTGTCAGGAAGGTCCTGGACATGAAACGTCTGATTTTTCTTCAAGAAAGAAGGAAATCTGTACTTTATTGGAAACATAAGAAATTTCAGTGACACTCACACTTCAGTGAAATTCTGTCTTGGTATTGAGGCTAATAGAGATATTTCACTGAGGTGAAAGGAATTTTTTTCACTGTAAAAAATAAAGGCAGGCATAAAACATGCAGGAGCTTGTTTGAGAACAGTAAAAAATTAACACTTCTCAGTTAACCAGTCTAAAAGTTAAAAAACAGCCATCAGAATAGGTCTCGTAATCCATAAAAACCCCACATTTCAGTCACTCGAAGTATACTCATGATTGCAACACTAGGAGGCTGGACTTACACTCCTCTGTTGTAAAAATAAATAGTTTAGAAATGTATTTGACTGTCTTTGGCATTTCAGTTGCTATAGTACTCCCTCACATGAGCAAAAACTTTCTTGGTAGGCTTTGATTTAAATTTGGTCCCTCTAATGCTCATAGAACTATTACTGCTAAGTGGTTTCATTATCAGAAATAAATGGAAGGACTTGCTATTTGGCAATATCAGTTTCAAACCAAAGCAAGATGTTCAGTTCTGCTGACTGGAAGGTCTTAGAATTTCTAGCTAAAAGTCCATAAAATACAGGATTTGGAAATAGCTGCTAAGGCATTAGGTTTAACTCATATTTGCCCTTTAATTTTAGTACAGAACAGGATATTTTGGCCAGATAGAGGAGGATGAACATTGTAAACCTTGCCACAACCTCCTTTGAAGGGAGAACATTTGCCAGCAATTTGCCTTTTTCAAATTTATGCTTGATCATATCAGTGGGCTAAATGTTAGTCATTTTATTCCAAGTAGGTGAGCAGTATCATGCATTAATGCAGTTAGGTGCAGAGTGCAGTGAAATGGGCTAATGGCTTGTCAGCTTGAGAGAGATCAGAAACATGCTTTGATATCAGCAGCAGGATTTCTGAGACATACTTCATTAACTCAAATTTTAAATGTTAATAGTATTTTATTAGAAAAAAGCAGTTGAAATTAAACATGTAATAGCTCAGAGCATAGAAATATATGCACAGATACAATTATTCTTAAATGATGACATGGTTCCTGAATAATTATGGCATTTCTTTTCCCTTAGTCAGCAAGAAAAAATATTGCAAATACCACTGATAGGTATTTATACTAATGGTTTTATCCATCTGTTTAGCTAATCATAAGGAAACTCAGTTTCCCTGAGTCTGTGTACATGTGAGAATATAAAAATACATGTATATGTATATATATATATATGTATATATACATATTTGAAAAGCATTTATTATGTGACTCTTCAGTGGGAGGAATGGCTGTACAAGCTAGTAACAATAGCTTGAAATCTTTGTTGTAACCATGTGGGTTACAATGAGGTGGGTAGAGGATCTTATATGCAGCAGTTACTATAGTTACAGTGTGTCTCTCTCTCTGTCTCTTTAATGAGGAACTAATCACTGTTCTCTGACCAAGGCATCCATATTTTGCTCATTTTTCTCTTCACCCACACCAGGCAGCATTTCTTCCCCAGGGGAAGGCAGATATAGCAGTATTAACCCTTAGGGTCAAAAGACTCCTTAACTAGCTAATTCCAAACCCTGCTGAGTCTAATAATGGGCAGGGATCTGCCATGCCATGGCAGCAGAAACCACTGCCCACATCCCCACAGCTAGCAGAAACCCTAAAGGTCTTCTAAGCAGTTGCATATCTTAACATTTCTATTTCCACCTGTCAGCAAATTAATATCAGAGATGGGGAAAAAAGAACTCAAATTTGCAAGTATTTAATGAACAGCTTGCTACAAGGCCCCAAAACTTAGTAGCTCCTAAGATTAAAGAAACCCAGAGGCTCTATATGCAGACATAGTAGCTTTTCTCCCCTCTGAAATTATGTCTGACAGCAGGAGGAGATGAATTGTGACCCAAATCGAGGAAGGGATTGAAGGGCTCACATCCAACAGTTAGGATGCTCTGCTTCTCAAAATATCTGCCAGCTGCCTTCAGTACCTCCCTTCCCAGATCTATTTAGGTCTTTCCTTCAGGCAAAAAGGACAAGACTCAGGGCCGTAAACATAGTTGCCAAATTCCCTTTTCAGGCACAGCTGGGTTTCTGAAACCAAGTCTTATCATGTCAAAACCTCACCTGCTGCTCAGGTAGGTACTAATATCTCAGTACCCAGCGCAAGTGCTGTTCTACACAAGGACCAAGGGAAACTTAGAGCTGTCAGTTCTCAGTGTATTTCCTATCTCTAATGGGTGGGACACTCCCCCAGGAGTTTGAGGAGTCTGTTATCAAACACCCTAACTCACTGGTAAGAGTTATCTCAAGAATGATTACTGCAATAATCAGCCACTGATCATTTAATACCACTAAGTAAATGCAATATTTTTATCTTTTCTGTTTCTATCCTTCTCCACTATAAATGATAAACATCAGTGGCATTAGTCAAATTTGACAGCATGTTTTACTGAGCATAAGCTCAAGCTAAAAAATTACCAATAAAGAAAAATCTCTGTTAATGCCCTGAATATCAGGTACATCTATTACTACTGTAAGCTACAACTTTCAACATTTTCAGGTTAAATTATAGGCAGGCTTAGTGTTGAAGATTCATCATAGATTTTCATCAGTTTAACTGACAAGATGAAATTGCCCCTACTAGGTCTTTGCCTCAAGGAAATGAAGTTTCAAGTCACCAAGGATTCACATCTCTGCTTGTCTGTATCCCTGCAAGCTCTTCTTCTTTTACCATTATTGCCATTTATCAGATGAATATGACAAAGTTGAATGTGCTGTTGCAGATACCATAAAGGTGTTAAGAAATGTCCTTACCACCTTAAACATTTTTTATCCCTGCTTTATATTCTAAGTTTATATTCTTAATTACACTGTCTTTTTTTTTTCCCTAGTTTCATGAAGATACTAAGTCCTGTTGATATAGGTGGCCAGAGAGAGAAGCAAAGATGTGTGTGAAGGTAAAGATTGTGTTGTAATTTCGGTCCATCTGCACCAGGGGATCCAGATACAAGAAATAAAAAATGGGTTTCATTGGTTTCAACAATAACATTCTAAAAATCAAGCTAAAATGAAATAGGTTTATTATTTTATATTGAGACAGGAAAAGTATGATTATAAGTTTAGCAAAGGTTTCTGACTGTTCTTGACAATTCCTTTATTATTTGGAAAAATAAATTTAAATTTAGCATGCTAGTTCTTAGACATAAGAAATTACACCTATAAATATAAATATAAATATAAATATAAATATAAATATAAATATAAATATAAATATAAATATAAATATAAATATAAATATATATAAATAAAACCTGACAAATATATGACTTAACTGTCATTGCCAAAAGTCACTGCAGTCTAAAGGGATTTTTACATCCTTTGGGAACAGCATCACAGAACAGTTTCAGAACAGGACAAAGACAAAGTAGCCTTTCTTTTTTATCTACTTTTAGTCTCCCTGGTTTTTGTTAAAAAAAACCCCACTGGCTCAGTATCATGCACAACTAGTATACATATATAAATATTGTTGAAGGTAAACTTAATATTAGTCAGCTCAGTTTGGGGGTTTGCAGTCTAACTGTTGAGTGGTTCACCTTGGGCCAAGAAGATACATACATTAAACATATATTAAATATATCATAAATGCTGATAGTAGTCAAGGAGACCCTTTAGGGTTTTTTCTTATTATTTCTTCATTTGTTAATGGCCTACTTACACAACAGTGAGAAGTAAGAAAGTAGCTGGTGAGAAAGAAACACTGTACAAGCAGGTGACAACTAAAGCAACACTTGTCTCTTTGTAGAAGCCTTTCTTCAATTATAATTTTGCCTTGTTGCTAGGACCTTTCATTGTATTAAATCAAGAAAAAAGGAAAAAAAATTATTCAGATGAGGATGTGATACGTGCACATTAGCCAGAGTGATAGACAGTTGCATAAGCAGAAAAAGAAAAGAACTTTTAAGAAAATTATAGCACTATTAATTCATTAAAAGGTTCTTGTTTTTGAACATGCTCCCTGTTGTTCAAAGGTCTGCATTGATAGCTGCAATTATTTAAAACAAGAGTAATTATGCTACATACAAATTGACACAGATAGTGAACCTGTTGACTGAGTAGGTGGTATCATTCTATTGTAGGTTTCAACATTCTCTACCTGGTAAATTAGAAATGCATTTGCTTCTACAGAAAGATCAAAATTTGAGCTGCTATTATACCTCTTTCTCTTAATTTCAAGTACCTAAGAATATGAAGTCTAAATTGTCATGAACAGAGTCATCCTGGTTTGACCTTTCTTATACATATACCCTGCATTGGGAAGATGACATTTTGTGAATGTTACTATCAAGGCAGCTAATAAGTCACCCTCTTAGCTTTAAAATGGTTTATAAGACCAGCACTTGTATATTTGCATATGAAAGACAAAAAGCAACAATTAAAATAATCTCCAGAAGACCAATTTATTTTATCATTGCAGTTCTACATATAATTTGTCATATCACATTAGCTTTTTCTTGTTAGAGTATTATGCAATGCATAACTATTTCTTCCCAACACATTCATCTGCGAGGCAAATGAACAAATTGTATATTTTAAACCCTTCTGTTCTGTTTGAAATAGAAAGTGGGTCACTGGGTTTGCAGATAGTTTAATTTAATTCTCCATTGTCCTGTATGTCTTTTTATCAAGATGAGCATTAGAGCCTACTAAATCAAATGGCTGTTTAGTTACAGGGCCAGAAAACAGGCAACAGCACTTCATAATAGGCAGCTGGGAACAGCAGGAACTGCTCACACCTCAAATGGCACCATGGACTGGCTGGCAGAGTGACACAAATCAGAACCACATGCAGACCCTTTTCCCTCCTGCCCACCCTAGCGAAAGGACTATTAGCACAGCTAATTGCCACGGCTAAGGTCACCCATTTTGAACACCAGTAATCCTCACACTCTTCTACTAGGGGTTTGAGGATCTGAGTTGTTGAGAAATGGGCTGACCTCCTCCTCTATGCCACTCCTGCCCGCTGAGACAGTGACAAAGGCAGGTAGCATCATAGTTAGATCACAATAAGACCAGTAATTTTTGAAAATTTACATAACTTTCACATCTGCAAACTCTCAGTCTGCGCATTTGTAAAGTCTGAAGTAATGGTGAATCAAGCTGCAGATCTGCTTTCTCCTCATATGCTTTTTCATCAGCAGACATCTTGTGGGGAAAAATGGGAAGAGATACTACCCTAGAAACCTCAGAGCAGAAATCAACAGGAATGGGTTTTGCTCCACTTAAGTTCATTCTCAATGAATTCAGGTGAATCTTCTCAGCTTATTCCCATAACCAAGGAACAGGAGAAAGAGACATCCAGCTTCATGGTAGGACAGTTTACCAGGAAATCAGGACACTGATATTTGAAAATCTATAATCTCAGCAATACCAATAAAGAACAAAAAGGTTTCTCTGCAAGAGTCCACAGAGAGCAATTTCTTGAAATGGAACACTCCATATTCAAATTGAAAAAAAAAATATATATAAGTAATCAAATACTAGTAACAATAAAGTGGAGTGAAAGTGGATTTGATTAGAACATGACCTCTGGGTATATTCACTTCCCTTATAAACAGAAGGGTAGCGTCTCTAGAGCTGTAAGACAGGCAAACCCAGTGAACATCTACCAAAAGTGACTGTACCACAGAGCAGCAGCTGCACTGCAAGCAGACCTCAGCACAGAGACAAGCATCTCATGATCCTTCTCAATTTATCATCTCCTCACTAGAGATTTCAAACATGGAGAGCAGCTAAAAACTGAGACCCTGACACTGACTTTTACCATTTGAGGATAGAAACAGAAAAGTGCTATAGCAACTCCACTCCTGTAATGTGCTAGAAAAGGTTATAAAAATGGAAAAGGTACTGAGTATACAGTTGAATATAGCCATTATTTGCTAAATGAGAAGACTGAGATAAAGAATTTTGTTTCCTATACAGAACTGAAATCCTAGCTAGCACTAATAATTACTGGAGTATCTATTTTTGCTAGAAAACGCTATACCAATATTAGCCTAATTTCATTAAATACCATAGTATTAGGTTAACTGCTCCAACCTCAGGAGAAAGAAAAAAAAATAAAAGAAAAATAATTGAGAAAGAGTTTAGATTTAAAACTTACTATGGGGTTGTTTGGGGTTGGGGATTTTTTTTGTTTTTCTATGTGGTTTTGGGTTTAGTTTCTTTGCAAAGACATATACATCTTTATACAAAGCTAGTAGAACATGTAACACATAGTTTTTCAGAATTCTGTTTAATTGTTCTTGATGTTATTGCCATCTCAGTGTTCTGCAAGTTCATGTTTCTGTAATGTCAACATAGTGCAAAACAGTGATAAATTGGGCAGCTATTATGCTGTATTGTAGAATCTTATGCCTTTAGTTTTGACAATCTTGAATACCGAAGAGGCTATGCACAATATTATAGAATTTAGGCAGCTGTAGTACAGAGCTGTTAGTATAATAAAGATGGCTTTATAACTCTACCTTTTCAACAGCTCTGAAAGGATGAGAAAAAGACTAACAAAAAAAGCCATTAAGTCCATTCATGCTTGGCTGGACTCAAAATTAGCTACTGTCATTCCAATATTGACTCAACACCTTCGCACAATGCTCTTGGTTAAGCCTCAGCTTGTGAATACATAGTTAACTTCATACATATGCAGTATTTTACTAAATGACTTTATTTTTATGGCAGAAAAATTTTATTGAATCTTCAAAGCTTGCTTTTCCTTCATTGGCCCTTTTCTGAAATATCCTTTCACTTTCATCAGGGTTTAATAGCAATTAAAGTTCTGTTTCATAAGTACTTACAACTTTACCTTCTACACAGACGTCTATCAAATCTCCAAACTGCCTTTTAATTAATTAATTTAAAGAATCCTAGCACCTATATATAGTAAATAAAAATGTTTTTCTTTTCTTTACCATTAGCAGTCTTTTGAAAGACAGATCCTGCTGTAAGGAAATTGCTTGGTCACTACTGGACTGTCAGTCCAAGTGACCACCAGATATTCTCTCTTCAGATCACTTTTTATATCAGAACACAGCTGGAGTGTTGCTTAAACCAATACACTATTTATACACCATCTCACTGTTCAAGCACAATGCTGAAAGTGAGTTTTCTGTGGTTTATGTTATGACAAATAACATTTGCATCTATACATCCCAGGAGATTTGGCTAAAGGATTTAGAGATTACCTACTCTGCCTGAAGGAGAGTATCTGGGATGAAAATTCCATCACCTTCCAGTTGTGTGATTTTATTAAAATTTGGAGATTCTAGAATAGAAAGAGCTTTAGGTCAGGACATCTTTGCCTCCTCTAGAAGGCAGAAGTGTTTAAACAAGAGTTGAGGTCACCTCTAGAGAGGGCAGAGGTCAAACCCTGTTCCACCTCACATGCAGACCATGGTGAATCTCAAATCAGTGGCATAGCTTTTGTTTAAACCTTGGAGCCTCTAATTTACCTATAAAGGAAAGCAAAGGAAAATTTTGTGACCTAGTTACAGCTGCTGCAGGAATTTTGTAGACTTTCTGACTTAGGTGATTGTCAGAGAAAGGACATTCTTCATTGCTGTTTTAATGTGGCTGCCTTATTATCTCAATCCTCCTGAAAAATCCTGACTCATTTCACCCAGTGTTTCAAGTCATGAATGGTGCAATCTTAGGAAGAAAGCCATGTGCTCAGAATGGAGATGCATCAGCAAAACTTAGAAAAGAAACACATGTAGCTGGGAATGTAGATGTGCATCTATCCATCAGGATAGTCCTGTCCAATAGACATGACTGTATATTTTAACCAAATGTCTTGGTTTCAGCCAGGATAGGGTTAATCTTTGCAGCATCCAGGAGGGGGCATGGCCAGGAGCCAAAGGTTGTTCTACACCACCTCATGTCATTTCTGGGCCTGGGGGAAAGGAGTCTCTGCTGGGGAGAAGGTGTCCCATCTGATCCCATAAGCCTGGTGGATAACACGGGTTCTGAGCAACTCCACGGGAATCATTGGCTGTCTTGCACACTTTCTTATAAATATTGTTGCTCTTACGGTTCACTTTCTTATCTCATTGCTGTTTCCAGTAAATTGTTCTTATCTCAACCTGTGATTTTCACTTTTGTGCTTTCAATTCTCCACTCCATCCTGTTACAGGGAGAGGAGGAGAGTAAATGAGACATGTATGGGTTAAAAAGTCTCAGTGGAAGCACTAAATTGCAGAGTATAATTCCCGAACCATGACACCAAATTAAAGACATGAATATTAATTATATACCACCATCAAATGGTATGAAAAGAGATTGAGAGTAGTGCACATTAGAAAAATACCATTTCAGAAGGAATCCTAAGACTGCCCATTGCAGCTTCTTTGCCTAATTTTAATTAGCCTGGAATTGCAGGAGCAGTAAATGACCAATTTCATTATAGTCTTATTATCTCAAGTCTGAAAAATGTATTTACAAAGTATGGAAAACAACAGATTTTTATTTGTAGTCTGATGTTTAGAGGAATGTTGATTTCCAAGGTATAAAATGATCCAAATAAGATCAGTGTTGCTTCTCTGGAACAAGAAAAGTATGAACATCTGGCTTTACACAAGTAATCTCCTGTACCATTTACATCTGCTCAATGTGATGACAGGCTTCAAACTGTAATGTAATAGTGTTTGAAATCTATTTGACTTTTTTTCATATGCAATGGACAAAGAAACCAACTCTGTATATTTAAAGGAAAAAGTAAATAAATAATACTATTATTTACAGACTATTTGTCTGCTTTCGTTGAATTCAGATAAGTTTAAAAAAAGCAAATCTACTTTTTGGCTTCCACAAAAGTGATCTTAAGAACAGTAATTGAATTAGAATTATGAAAAAAAAAGACTGAAAAGTTATCAAACTGAGGATAAAGTAAATAAAGTATTGAATCTCCAATATACAAGATACTAATTAGAATACTAATTAGATTATCAGTCAGCTGTCATCTTTCAGCCTTAATATGATGGGGCCACACAAGCAGAGCTTCTTAGAAGGCTACTAACCACCCTTACTAGAGTAATGGTCTTACTCTGCATCAGCTATGTTTGAAGTTCATCTTTCCTCAATGTAGGTGACCAAAATTAGATGAGCATTCCCCAAGGGGAAGTCTGACCATGTTCTTATACCTAAATGCATTTTAGAATGTAATGGAATTAGGGGAGCCAAATATTTGTTTCATTTGCTTATTAAAGCTGTGAAAAGTTGTTACATCAGCTGGACCTCCAAATGTTGTCTCTTTACCCAGTTAATACAGTACAGCTTGGCACAACATACTCTCACTTCAGGCTGGGTTCCGCTGCTACAAATGTTTACCACTCCTGGTTTTATTTGCAATTATCTGTACCATACCTAGAGTACCAGGTGGTAGACACTCCACTCTTACCTATTGTGACTTTTTGAATTTTGAGGTTTGGCTCCACAAGTAGCTTTCTTGGAACTGAAGAAACAGGTCCCCTGCACCCTAGAAGAACTTGCTATATTTACAAACATCAGAGTAAAAGAGCAACATGAACAAATGAACTGAAGATCAGGAGGTGATTTTAATGATTGCATAGATACTGAGCAACATAAATGAGATAAAATCTCATAGGGAATGTGTATGTCTGGAATTAAGCATCATTTTTAGATGTCCCATAATGACAGTTCAGCTGCTGAACACAGAAATTCCACAGTGAGGTTGAATTTGAATTTTTATATTCTTTAGGGAGCCTTAATGCAAATAAAAAGAATTTTAAAGTTCCTGGGATCAAAGGCTAGAATTTCTTGGTGGATTATGCTGATGCAACATAAATTGGTTGGCACCACAGCAATAGGAGTCTATGAGCCTGTTATGAGCCTTTTGTCTTGATGGTTTCTCAAGCAATTACTTAGCAGCACTGAAGATGAGATTAAGGAAACTAAATTAGAAAAACACTCATATATTTTACTTCCATTCATCACCAATAATTGCCAGTTAAATTTAAATTTGTTCACATTCTGGATGATAAAGTAAAAATGTCCTAAGTGGAATTATTTGACTACTTATCAACTCAGGGGGAAAACTGGGCTATTTATGGAATGTTAATGCGCAGACCATCTGAAAATAAAAGCACATATTAATCCTTTACATATTAAGATTTACACTGTTTTACAAAAATGTATTAAGATTAAAAAGGAAAAAATCTGCAAACGGAAATACCTACTAAATATGTAACAGCTTTTCATGCTAAACTGATCACAAAAGAGAAAAAAGTGATACAGCATATGAGCTAACACTAAGTGAAGAGACAATTATTTCAACCACAATTCCACAACAACTTTATTTTTAAAAGTTAGAGCTACACAGTGAACAAAAATCAATTTGCAGTCAAGACACAGCACGTGATGTGACCTGGAGATAAATAACTAAGTTATAAAGCTATAAACACTGAAAAGCTCTATAGTGGTCTAGTCAGGAACAGAAAAAAGGGAAGCTCAAATTGCTTATTGTCACAGCATGGCTTTGATCGTGCTGTGATCAATCCAAACTTGGTATGATTTCTGCGACATAGATGGAGAACACCTACAAGCCCAGGAACAGTTGGAGGTTGTGACTGGAGTCCAAGGCCTTCTCCAGGCACCTCAAAGCTGGGTGCCCTTATTTAAGAGGTGCCTGCTCTATCAGCAGGTTGAATATTCTCTAGTTGCTTTGGAGTGGCAGTGGATCCAGCCTAAAGAAATCCTGATTCTGATTATCCTAGAGCAAGTAATGCATTACCTAGAGCTGCACAGCTTCAGCTGAGAGCTGGCTCACATTCAGCCAGCTTGACACGTGAAGATACAAAGCTGGCATCTGCTTGAAAACATTAAGTAGATATACCAAGGGCCCAGCTATACTCTTCTGTCTGGCATCCAAAAATTTGAACATTGTGTACCTGCACAAGGGCACAGCTTTAACACAGGTCAAATTTACCCAATGCTCTCTCCCACTTGAGAGCATTTCCCAGGGACAGGACAGATCTACTGAAAGTATTTAATCTAGACTTCCCTCATCCCAACGGTGTGACTGAACCTTTGCATGTAAACCAACTTCTTTTCCTAATACAGGCTTCTACCACATTATTGCAAGGGATCCCATCCTATCCATTAAGTGAACACTAAAAATACCTGGATTTTCAGGTTTTTATGTAAACTTATCTCTAGATGGTATTTGGTAGGATGCTGTAAAGGAAATTGCCCTTCAGATTGATGAGAAGCTGATCTGCCGAGTCTAAGCATTGATAAAGCAGGCAGATACACAAGTGCAACAATCTAGATTGAGCACCTCACTGATCTGAGCTATCTAGACTCAGACTTGCAGTGCTGGGGTAGAGCCAGGAGTTCTTACAGACTTGCTTGTCACCCTTTACATAACAACTGTGTTTACCCTTGGTTATGTGCTTTTACTGATCGGCTTTCCTCTGTAGTACAGAGCAGGTAGTATTCCTTTCCAGTGGGAGATACAGTATTCTTAGATATATAGAAGTGAGACCTTTGTCACACCCACTGCTGGGTGTGACACTTTCATAGAAACATAGCAAGGTAGGGTTGGAAGAGACCTTAAAGATCACCTAGTTCCAACTGCTCTGCCATGGGAAGGGACACCTTCCTCTAAACCAGGTTGCTCAAAGTGTCAGCCAGCCTGGTTTGGGTGTTTCCAGAGGTGGTTCATCCACAACTCTGGGAAACCTGTTCCAGTGCCTCACTACTCTCTGGGTAAGGAATTTCTTTCTAACACTAATGCAAATATTCCCTCCTATAATTTGAAGTTGCTCCCTCTTGTTCCATCACTACATGCCCTTGCAAAAAGTCCCTCTCCAGCTCTCTTGTAGCCACTGTAGGTACTGGAAGGCTGCTATAGCATCTCCCTAGAGACTTCTCTTCACTAGGCTAAACCCCAACTCTCTCAGCCTGTCCTCATAGGGGAAGAAGTATTCCAGTCCATTGGGCATCTTCATGGCCTTCCTGTGGACTCATTTCCAGTAGGTCCATGACTTTCTTATGTTAGGTGCTCCAGAGTTGAATGCAGAACTCCAGGTGGGGTCTCACAAGAGTGGAGTAGAGGAGCAGAATGACTGCTCTTAGCCTGCTGGCCATGCTGCTTTGGCTGTAGCCCAGGACACAGTTAACCTCCGGGATCCAAGCACACATTGCTGGCTCATGTCAAGTTTCTTGTCCAACAGCCCAAATATTTCTCTTGATCTGGTCTCCATCCAGTACTTGTGTTTGGGATTGCCCTGACTGAGGTGCAGGACCTCACACTTGGTCTTGAACACAGGTCCACTTCCAAAATTTGTCCCAAAAGGTTTTTCTGGATGGCATCCCTTCTCAGTGTGCAAACCTGTTCTGTTGACTGTCAGTGTCTCCCCAGGATTTTAAGTACCACATGAGTAGGCCTAGTCAGGCAAAAAGGGATTTGGGGGCTATCCTGAAGGCAAAAGGCTGTGGTGACTCAGGATGCTCTTGGACTGCTGTGTTTACATCACAGCCAGCAGACATGTCTCCACACAAGCTGTCACAGAGAGGCACGATTATCACGCAGCACAGGCTGGCACAGGCATGATGCTTTGCTGATGTTCCTGTAGTGCCTCCTCACCTGTGTGAGTATCTCTGACTGATACTGCCATGTCACATTCCACCTCAGGGTCTCCATGGTGCATTCAATCTCCCAAAGCAGAGGTTGCTTTAAAATAATTTGGATTTTTTTTTTTTTTGACAGGTTTCACATTTATATCTACACTATATTTCACCAAGATCACACAGCCAAAATATTCTTTTACTCTGTTTCTACTCTATTGATGCTGAATTTTTTCAGGCATGGTGAAGTCCATCGGCAATTTCCCATGATAAGACAGCTTTACACTAGAAAAACTGATAGCAGAGCATGTGGAGTTTCCAAATTTAGTTTTTTAATTTAAACCAATAGGCCATGACAAGCAGTGAATTTCTTGAATGGATATTGCAGACTGCAGGAGGCATTAACAGGTATGAGATAGAAAGCCAAATGGTTTTGTAAGCACTCAAGCAGAGTGAAACTCAACTGGAGTGTGTTATTGCTACTGTAACATGAAATTCAAGCATCAAAACAAAACAAGGCAAATTGTATTATAAGTAACAAATAATATTGGAGAAATGCAAACTAGGAGATCATAAAGGCAAACATTTTGAAGAAGGTTCATTTATAATTTCAGACAGATCATAATTTTGATGCTCTGAATCTTGAAATAGAAAACTTGTGAGATGCTTTAAAGCTACACTGTGCACCTTGGTCATGGTTTTTAATGAGTATTAAAGAATAAAATCTGTTCCTAAGTACAAAATATCCAAAAGCATTTAATTATAAGGAAAAATATGAAAATAATTAGCTAGAATTTCACTCAGTCATGTATTTAGAAAATATATTGAGAGTATTACTAATTATGTTCAAATTTTGTTCAAATTTCATGCATATAATTCTGGCTACCATTACAATAAGGTAAAAGTCAGGGTAGTAACAATTCCAAAGTTTGCTGCTATACCCAGATTATTCTTTATCCAAGAGGGTTGAACTCTTTAATAGTTCTTCCTCATTTCTAAATTCAAGTTAGGTGCTGCAAAGCCCAGAAGGCAAGTAAGGCCCTTTTGAATCTAGACCCAAGCAGGTACTGGTGTCCTCACTGTGAAGTTGCACAGCCTCCACAGTGATACAACTCATGCCTTGCTGCTGCCATAGTAGCACTCAAAAAGTTTCCAGTGTAGTTTAGAAACTTGCAACAGAAATATCTAAAGCTGATCTCACGTGAGGGTTGAAAGTTAAAGTTGATAGCCTACACTACCTCTGTGGATGGATAAGAAACCTAGAAGAGGGGGGATCTCTGGAAATTTCTCATTGGAGAGGGCAATGGATTTGAAGGAAAAAGTCTGCATCGACCAATGGCAGTCTCCTGGCGGGATTTTAGTAGAGCATTTAATTTACAGAACACTTAATTTAACTGTGTAAACATACACTTAAAGTTGAAAGAGATACAGCAACTGGATGGCATGATGAGTCAGGGAGACCATCCCCATGAGGGGAATACTGAAAACTGGAAAAGAAACTATGTGGGACACCTAAATGTTTCACTGAAGTACCGGAAAATTCCAGAGATGTTCTGAATAAGAAGATATTGCAGGAATGTGTCCATTTCAGTCTTTTAAATTTTTCATTGAAATGTAAGGGATGTATTTTCTTTCAATTTTATTTTAACAGCAGAGAAGCTGTATAAAGGTAACAAGCATTAACAAGCTGGGGGGAAAAAAAAAAGTCTGAACATACTACATTCTGGTTTTTTCTTCCTTCCTCCATTCCCATTTTACTGTAGCCTTTTCAAAAGAAAACATTATTCACATTTTCTAAGCATGGATTGTGATGTGGAAAGCTATCCTTAACATAACAGCTTTTGCTGTCCCTTTTGCTAGCTTAATTAATACTTGCCTGGGAAACCTCACCTGTGACTCTTTTGATAGCAACAGGATGTGCCATTGACATGCTGTGAAAGTTTCACTCCTCTATAATTGCAAGCACCTGTATGTATCCATTACTTAACAAAGTGTTTGAAAATCCAGGATAATATTCAACTTAAAAATTTAAAGCTGACACAGTTTCGATGAAGTATTTTTTCAAAACATGCACTGTGCAATATTAATTGTAGTCCCCTCTTGCATTTGCAGCTGAAGGAAGATTGCTGTCCCTGGGAAGCATGGTTGCCTTTCTGGGCTCTGTGGCACAATAAAATCTCAGGTTTGGAGGTCTCATGCTCATTGCACCTGATAAATAAAGCACCTCCACAGAGCAGAGAGATGAGCTGCGAAAGACAGCAGCAGCACATCCTCCCACGCTGGCCTCATGCTGGCTGCAAAGTCCTTCTGCTTTACAGCTGGCAGTGGTAAGTGTAAGCCTTCAAAAGTAGCCAAGTGCATCCCCACAGCCAAGATGTGGTCACACCAGCAGAGGTCCAGCATGGCGTGTGTTGATTCATGACCTTCCTTTGCATACTCAGGAGAAAATTCACATTTGGACAGGTACAGTTAACACTGATTTCTGTCTCCTTCAGCTTCTTATGACCTGGGATCAGATCAGGGATTTAGTAAGCAGGAGAAATCATGGTATATTTTAATATCCGTTAAGTAATTCTCCCTCATTAAAAAAAATAGAAGAGCAGTTTTCACTTCTTTTGTAGAAGAATGCTAAAAGGTGTAGAAAATAAAATGTTATTTTAGATTTACTTTGAATTATATGACAATAATGGTCAAGATAAAAAGGAATTATGGCTGGTATCTGGATAAAAGCTAACAACAATCTACACATTTATGAATTACACAGTTTAAACAAATAGACATGAATAAATCCTGAAATACATATGAGAATAAAATACTACTCAGATGTGCACATGCAAAAAGTGAAACAAGGAAAGAGACTGACAAGTTTTAGAGATCCAAGGGCAGCTGGAAGTATTTAATTTAATTTTCCTCCAGCTTTACTTTTTGTTAATTTGTAAGTTATGTTATCTCCAGTTTAAGAGAAATAAAAATATTTCATTTAAATTCCTACCATAGGGCACCAAGATTTGTATGCAGTCATCACATTTGAACTCCTCACAAGATCATACTAGAACAAAATAAGTTAAACATACTTTTCCTCCTATGTAGACTTTTCAGAAAGTCTTTTTGTAATTCTCTAATTACAAAAAGCATTTGTTTGGAGACAAAACTGAGAATTAAAATCAGAATACCTGGACTAGAAAAGGAGAATATCACCAACTGACCACATGCTCCAAAAAAATACTAAAAAATCAATTGGTTTTTCAGTTGACTGTGGTGTGCAGTCATTGTTCATAGTATCAATATGCCCTTAGCTGAAGAGAGATATGCAACCTAGCTCTGGAAACAAGTACTTTTTCTCTTCAGCCAGTTTCCCTTTGCAATAATTAACAACTGTTATTGCAGTTAATCCCTTTGGAATTCAAAATGTTCATCAATCAAAGAAGGCCAAAACACTGGATACAGAAAAGACTTGACTTCTTGGACCTCTAGCTTTCATTTTCCTCTCTTATTTGTTCCATGTGAAAACAAAGACGTCTCAGTATAATTATGAGAAACATGAAACTCAGTTTGTGGGAGAACAAAATAATGATCTCAAGATAACTAAGCAAGCACATCAGCTACAGTCACAGTTTATTTGTGTGTGAATCATGAGCCTGATGAATGCAAACTGTTGACTCAAAGTGTTCCCTGAGGAGTTCAGAGGTCTTGATCACACAAATTAATAGCAAGTGGGCCACTGACTATATTGATTATATGTTGTGCAGAATTTTCAAAACTGGGCAAGGAAAGACCTTTAACATCAGGAAAATAAAAGACAAATGGACTCAGATGAAAAAAGTCTTTCTCAAAAACTTTTTCCCCTAGATTTTTACAATATATTCAACATTTATATCTTATTAAGCTATTTGAAGAATGACAAATTAAGAATAACATAGTATGGCAGAAGTGGGCCACCACTTAATTAAAGATGCATGACCAGTGGTAACCATTTGTGTGTAAAAAGTCACTTTATTTCCAGGGTTCTGGATAAAGACCATTTTGATGAACATTTGGTTCAGAAACAGCTTAACTGATAGACAGCCTATGTCCAAAGACCATAGACCCATTAGTTGGGACATTACCAGTTGATTTACTGGCAAGTGATTTTGTGAATATGGAATAAAACAACAGGGATTCTGAAGGACCTAATGGTCCTCGTCACTTTAACCAAGAGCATTTGTTTAAGCTGTGCATGAAAAGATGTCAGTGCCCCAAACTGGGCTCAGACCTAACAAGACCTCCCAAGAGGTTGTTCTGATGGAGGAATCTCAGTCTCTCTTCCTGCATGAATTTTCCTCTGCTTGGCACACTAGTACCACCCTGTCGAATTATAGCCACCAAATTTGGCACAGCAATCCATATTTGTTCCCTCTCTTTGGCCCACTCCATGGAAAGCAAAGAACAAAGTCACAGCCTCCTCACCCCAGAATAACCTAGCACAATATCTTCCTGCACATAAGAAATTGCTGGATCCAGACCACAGTGATAAGAATTTTTTTTATTACTGTCAAAATTTAAAAAAAAAATGGAAAACATCTTTGAAGTCTGTCTTTTCTCTCAGAGTTCACAGTATCTCACTACTCAGCAGCTAATTAGCATCATGTTGAAAACACAGTGCTGTGAGTCAGTGCCAAGTGACGGGAGGGGAGAGGGCTGGAGACTGGTACAAGCACACACTCTGCTTCCTCTGCAGCCTGACCACAGGCACAGGGAAGGGAGGAACCTGACTAAGAGAAAGCATCGATTTACTGGCAAGCCACAGACGTGATAATGGCACTCTCAGTGCTTCTCTCACATCTTTTGCAATACTTTTCAAGCAGGAATTTGGAACCAAAATAGTTAAACAACATAATTAGACATTTATTTTAACTCTGTGGGGCCAACGTGTTGGCTGAGGTTTTGCAAATGACGGAAACCACAGCTGCCATGTTCAGCTTTGGGAGCAGCTCAGCTGCACTGTGTGTCATCAGTTCCCATCCTGCACTCTTGTTTTAATTAGACTCTCTTGCAGGCAACAAATCAGACTGATATTCTTCCTAAATGCTGCAAGTGCCCAAAGCAAACTGTGAATACTAAGGGAAAAACAGAGACAAACTAGATGTTTGTGTTCTTATACACGAGATACAAGAACTTTACTACAGTCAAATCTATTGAAATAGCCATGTTCAAAAGTGGCGTGCTTCTGTTGCACTGGTGTTACTTCAAAGTTGTTAAGCAGAAATTCTTCTGGCAAAGAGACTTGCCATGTGCTCAGGATTGGATAATGTAAGGCTCCTGGCCCAGGGCCTACTTCCACTGTTCCTTGTTCAACATTTCTTCCCACCAAGTGGATAATGCCACTGTATTACCTGTGGTAGCAGCTAGGAAAGAATGGATGTGGCAATAGGGATGTGCTGTCCAGGCCTCCTTCCAGTCTGCTCAGTAAATACCACAACTCCTTTAATTTTAAAATCCTCAGTTGTCTCGCTTTGCATCAAAAGCAAAGGATAGATCAACTCCATTTAGTTAAAGTCACCACAAGAAAATAATTTGCTCTTTAGGTGAGAGCACAGGGCACTCCAGACTCTGAAACAGAAACATTCCTCTTTGCTTTTATTCTTCCCTCTTCCCCCCCTCAAAACAAAATCTTCCCTGAAGTTAGAGAGATGGGAAATCACCAACCATATGAAGTTCAACAAAGACAAGTGCTGGAGTCTGTTCCTGGGATGGGGCAAGCCTGGATGTATGAACAGAGTGGGGAATGAGACGCTGCAAAGCAGGACCACTTACAGGGGGTCCTCATCAATGAGAAGATGAATCAGCAGTGCCCTGGCATCCAGGAGGGTCAACGCTGTCCTGGGGGGCATTGGGCACAGCATCACCAGCCAGGCAAGGGAGAGGATTGTCCTGCTCTGCTCTGTTCTGGGGCAGCCTCACCTCAAATCCTGTGTGGTTTTGGGCAACCATCATTTGAGAAAGATAGAAAGTTATTAGGGAGTGTCCAAAGAAGGGCTACAAAGATGGTGAAGGGTCTGAAGGGAACACTGTATGAGGAGAGGCTGTGGTCACTTGGCTTGTTCAGCCTGGGGAAGAGAAGACTGAGGGGAACACTTCATTGAGTTCTTCAACATCCTCACAAGGGGAAGTGGAGGGGCAGGTACCAATGTCTTCTCTCTGATGACCAGTGACAGCACCAAAGGGAATGGACCAAAGCTGTGTCAGGAGAGGTTTACATTGGATATCAGGAAAAGCTTTTTCACCCAAAGGCTTGTTAGAAGAAGCTTTTGGACAATGTTCTTGGGCACATAGTGTGACTCTTGGGGCCTTCCTGTGCAGGGCCAAGAGTTGAACTCAGTGATCCTTGTGGGTCCCTTCCAACTCAGAATAGTCTATGATTCTATGATTTTGTAAAATAATACCACTGATTCTTCTTCAATATTTTCCTCTTCTTGAAGAAGAACTTCTTGAACCTCTGAGCTGTTTCCCATCACCTGTGCTTCCTCATGTTAAGCCAGTAGTATGTTCTGCCTGTATTGTATGTCAAAGGACTTTGTGAATTGCTCACATCATCCCCTCTCATGATCTGCATCTTCCCACACAGTCCCCAGGAACACACACAACAAAGAACCTTGTGCAAAAGGGACTGAGGAAACAGCTGTAAAAAGAAGAAAATAGAACTCACTGTGGAGGAAAAAGATGAAGCATGTCAGGGCCTTGGCACTGCATCTTGAGATGAATCTTAGCTCCCACAATTTCTCACCAGCTGCAGATGAGATGTTCCTATAATAGGAGGGAGGGAGGGAGGGGAAACTCACACTGTCCTAAAGCCTCCCAAAAATTAAGAAAGCTATACTAGTGTTATAATACTTGGTTAAATAGCAATGAAATGTTAGTACAGATGTTAGATGTAAATTTCAATATAGATGTTATAGTTAGTTACCTATATATGCAATATAAATGCTGTCAAAGATTCAAACTACAACACCACCCATCACTAACAGACAGCTGAAAGTAATAAATGCAGATCTCAAACATGCAATCATTCCATGCCAGACAGCAGTATATATTTGTTATCACACTATCAAAGTATTCTGAGCACTGTAACAGTTACTTTTCTTCAGAAAAAGAGTTTCAGACATGATGTGAAAAATATCCATTTTAGCATGTTTCATTCTTTGAAAGAGGTGGGGTAATATAATGTCTAATGTTTCTAAATTCTCTAAGACATAAAAAGCAGCTTCCACTTTTTAAACTATTTTAATGAAAATAACTATATTCCTGAAGAAAAATATTTTAAGCCATTCTCAAATCAGCAGACCATTCTACATAAAGATCTGAACTACTTGTACACTGCATGAGCCACACAGTAATAAGTTAATTACTGAATAAACTACAGCTTTGAAGGATTATTACAACCGAGGCCCTGGGCATACACAGAGCAAGATCCTATAATCTGAAATTATCTTGATTGGGAAAAACAGCAGAGAAGTAGCTTTTCTTCTGATGTTGTGGCGGTAAGCTGTTTTACTGAGGCAAATGCACTGTAGCAGGGAAATTGAGAAAAAAAAAAAACTGGTGAAGACTCTCTTTGGAAAGTCTATATCTGGGTTTTGAAAATATGGGACTCACATTCATAGTCATTATCATATAAGTGATATAAATTTCATGATCCTGGTTCTGAAATATATGTATTCTAATATAGTTCTAAAAGAGTAGAAAAGGCTGAATAACAAAATCATCAGAGCAGTGACTGCATCAATCCACAGATGACAAATTCATAATTCTGGGCACTCATCTGATTTTCTTAAGTGAGGGCACGTGAAAAAAGTACTCAATTGTTGGGCTGGGTTGGGGGAACTGAGGGAATAAACACTGCTAGAATAATTGCCTGTTGACATATTGAAAAGCACGTACACGTTTGCCAAGGCAGGCAGCTCCTAGGGATTATGCTTTTCTCTGAAAAGCTATCAGCTTGCAGCATGTATCTGAGTTTACTAAAAGAGTTTTAAGAAAATATGTTGAACTGCAAACAAAAATAGTACCAAGTGCAGGCACAGCTCAAACAGCTGCATTGCAGTAGATGTTTGCTTTGAACATCGTGACAGAACGGCATTCAACAAAACCATCCATTGCGTGCATTCAAAAAGGATGCCAGGATGTTGCCAGTTCTTGTACTCCCACTTACTGGGATGACAAAGCCATGAACACAATTGTCAGGCAGAAAGAAGAAATGAAGAACTGTGCCGAGGTGCCTCGAACAAAAGAACATAAAGATTTCTGTGATCAGCTTACATGTCACTAGACTATAAGGGGGGAAAAGGCACAGCCACGAGTGAATGAACAGACTGATGAGAGCACTAGAGACACGCACTGAAAGATAAAGGATTGGCACTGCACGGGGGAAAATCTCTGCACAGCACTGAAAAGAAAGGATGAGGAACTATTATAGAAAATGTAGAAAAACTAAATAGTTTTTAAAAAATAAACATTGAAAAGCTCATAAGGTCTTTGGGTCAAAGTCTATCTCTTCCTGTGTACCCTACCAAATATGACCGACACAGGGTCCTGGGGCTACAGCTACTTGGCAGACATGGGTGTTAAAGCAATTGTGTTCCCCAGGGCCCCAGGATCTGTCGAATCTCTTGCCAGATATCCCTCACTAATGAAACTAAGTGTGCTGAAAAAGATTACAATGGATCAGTTTGATTGGTTGCTTTTAAGTGAATGATAGGAGCTCAGGTGAGCAAGTCTTTATGCGTTGAAAATTATCTAGTTAGCAGCTACATGTTAAATAGAGGAGGTAGGCAGGCTCCACAGCAGGATTTATCCAACCTAGATTTTTCCCATATAATTGTATTCAGAAACCTCCAAATTGTGGAAGTACTCAAATCCCTTTGAAAACACCCAAAATCCTCACTGACAGCCTTCTACTCTTCTGCATGTCTCCTTCAGCCTGCCTAATTCAGCATCTAGCTCCCACCCAAGTCTCAAGAGGATGCCAAATTACTCATTCATCCACCAAAGTCTTAAACAGAGACTGTCTAAACAGGTTTCATAATGCTCATAATTCACTCAGGACCAGACACACTGTGAATGCTACTTGCATTGAATAAGTGCAATTACACAGCTTCTCACTCAGAAGTGGTGAATATACAGGTAAAAATACCTGTACATTCAGTTTTAAGTGTGTATGTCTCTAATATTTTATTGACTACAACCCCTAAACTAACTTAAAAATTAAAAATATTATGTTCTTGTTTGTTGATTGTTTTTTTTACTCCTCTGTGATTTTTTTTTCTTGGAAGGACAGGAATGAGAAAAAGAGATTTTAACAAGAGCTGGATTTTTTTGGAGTTCAACACCTTTTTTTTTTTAAGAGATCTAAATTCTCAGCTATTTTTTTTCTGACCCATTAGTTTCTTAAAACTCAATGGACCTATTTTCTCATTTCTTTATCTTCTTACTCATGTCCATTTAGTTAATCTAACAACTGATTAGTTTCAGCCAAACCAATCCATTATTCTTCTTATCATTTTTATGTTGATTTTAATGGTTTCTTCAATACTATTGCAAATGCCTCCTTTACTTTTTACCTGCCTCTAATTTTGCATGAACAACTTTGCTTGCTTCTTTTTTCACTAAGCTGTCACATCATCCTTAATCATGCTTTCTCTATTATCATCACCCACAAGTTTTGACTCAGAAATCAAAGATCTTCTATTAAATAGACTGTTATTTCAATCCCTGATGGGTAGATACTTCATTCTCATGACTTTACTCATGCATTTGTATATTATTTCAGTACAACTTCTATAATTATTGTTATATTGTTTCTGTGTAATATTTCTCCATCCTAATACTAGTTTTGTATAATAAATGCCATTATCTCCTCTTTATTTACCGAGCAAGGTCCATTTGTTTAAACTCTGTGTTTGAGGTTGACTTAATTTTCTTTACCCTACTCATTTTCTAATCTCTAAGGCATTTAACTCAAATCTTCAGTCTTTCTTTGACTGCTTGTAGGCAATCTAAATTCTTCCCAAAAAACCTGAGAAGTTTACTAATTTAGAAAGATAGAGAGCTATTTTGTACAATATTTGAATCACAAATTTCCTGATCTTTTTTTTCTTTCCTTAAATAAATCCCATGCATTGCCTTCAAATCAGTTTCTGAGCTTCTTATTTCCATTTGTCTTCAGCTCAGTTTCCTTCATTCATTGTATCTCACAGTTTAGTCTGAGAATTGGACATCTAAATTATAGATCTACTTTTGTTTTCACAAAATTTGAAGTGAACTGACACATGTCAGTTTAATCTCAGGATGTTTTGTATTAGAACTTTTTTCACATTTTCAGTGCTTACCACACTCTCTCTTGATACAAATTTATGTTCAACCATATGTTCATCACTGAATTATAATATTAGGAAACAGAGGGAAGCCTGAACAGAAGAACATGTGACTATAAACAACTATCTATCTAGTAAACTCCACTTTCATTGGCAATTAAGATCTAACACCTCAACCCTAAATAAAGAAAACACATACACACCCTAAATAATAACAGATTAAAATAATAAATACATTGCAACTAAAAGTATATAACATTTTTTCACCAATTAAATATATTTTCAAGAGTATCCAACCTCCTCCCTTATCCCAATACACAGTGATACCAGTAGTGGTGACAGCAGTAGTAATCAACAGTAATTAACAGCTGTGACTCCAGTACCTCACAGCTACCCTTCTTTAAGCTAACAAGGTGCAGGTTTGTTCCCCATTCTGAAGCATTCATTTAATTGATGTTCCACTTTTTACTGTCACTCATGGCTTCAATTAATTAATCTGCAACTTTTGCCTCTTTGACATCACAACTGCTCTGCACCACCGCCCATTCCATCATTGTACTGTTGAAATATTTATTCAGAAAATTGTGCAGGTGGATGGCTGGCAAAAGCTGTACCATCAGAAGAGAAGGTAGGACATAACTGGAATTGCCTAGGTGAAACACAGTTTGAATCTCACCACTTGCCTCTACATTCTACATACTAATTCAACAAGGTAAAGCTAAGCTTCAGCACAGTTAAAAACTAAAAGCAATATTGAGAACATCATAGTCTAAGAGAAGCTTTTGTAAAAACTATATTTTTTAAATTAACATTTTGATCATTTTACATACAAATGTAGCCTCTTTATTTTTACCCAAGAAAAATTAATATATAGACTGGGAGTTTAAATGGGATTAGAAGAAAACTAGGCAGACAAACTGTCAGTCACCAAATTACTCTGTGTGAAAAAGACTGTTGCAGGAGAGCTTTATAACAAAGACACAAACTCTTAAGAAACACAAGGAGTTATATTCACAAAAATAATACTAACAAATAATAAATATCAAAATAATAACCCCACATTTGATTAATATTTTTCATGAATAAAGGAAATGCACCTTATTTTTCTTGAAATATGGACCATAAGAGATCAGCTATCTAGACACACATTCAAGGCAAGACCAACAGTATCAAAACATTTCTGATACAGGTTTTTTAAAAAGGAAAAGCTGTAACGAAGACTCAAAAAACACCATAGACACTCCTGTGCTTGAATACAATTGCAGCTTTTCCCCAGTGCCAAAGATTTTTCCCAATGCTAAAGGTATTCCTCCTTGCTTGAGTGTCAACCCATGAGTTTGGGCTGCTGGAAAAAATGCAGAAGACTAAAGGGCAATCCTCTGTGTAAAGATAATCAAGAGACCACATGAAGTCAACAAGATGGAAACATAATTAAAATCACTGAAATACAGAGTGGAGTTGAATTAGTGAAGTGGGACACAGTACTGTTATCACATTAATGTCTTTGTTTTTCCCCAGACACAGAGGCACTGACCATCTTCTCGGTTTTAAAGCCTGACAGAAATAAATTTCTAGTAAAAACCACTCACTGGCAGACAAGGGTCAGCAAGCACTGGGCTGTTTGACACCACCAGCAAACAGCCATGAATCCCATAAAAGCTGATAAATCTGAAGGGCTACAGGAATTTGGTCAGAGTAAGAATCAGTTTTCAGTTCTGCCCTGCAAGCAAATTGTTTATTACTCCTATATGTCTTCAGTGATACTACATTCAAATTTCAAGCTTTTGTCAGATGTATTACTTAATTTATTTGTTCTTAGTTGTTTAAAGGCCTCCAACAGGGATGTTTTACAAGGACAGTCTATGCCAGCAATTGCCATTCCTGATATGAAGAAAGGTATAGAGCTTCTTTTTCTGTACTAGCTTGAAGTCAAGAGCATTTAGGGTTTGCTTTTTTTATCCCTTACAATTTCCTGTTTGAGGATCATAGAAGCTATTCACTTTATGTAATTGTTTCCTTAAATTGCTGTTTTCAATTTGCATAATGTATCATTTAAGTAAAGGTAAAGAAGCATTTCATCTTGATAATTTCTGCCACAGCTGAGATTGCAAAATTGCTTCTTGTTAGAAGGAAATTTTTAAAAAGTGCAATCACTGCAACTTTCCAGATGGCATCTAAGATATTTTTCAGTCTGCTGCAATAGTATGTTATAGATATGCTTGCTATTCAGTTCAAGCTAGGAAACATTTTCTCCAGCTGAGGTAGGTCTTTTGGCCCCACGTTTTCACACTGCATCACATTCCTTGATAATTTCCTGATTTATTAGTTCCATAGTTCTAAACATTTTCTTGTATATAAAAAAATTCACTACTAGTTTGACCTACCAAGACATTCTATTTCTCCACTGCTAATTGCTTTGCTATTAAATCTGGTTAATTCTTTTCTACAGCCTTATCTAAGAATGCCATCATTTAGCCAAAATGCCATTCTACATTTATCCATAACATCTTCTAACTTCAATTCTATTCTATTATTAACAGCAAGAATTGATACATGCAGTACCCTATACCTCAGATACACCCATAGGTTGAAATCCTCCAAACATAAAACTTCCTAAGTTTCATACCTGATACTTATCTGAAATTAGCCTTTAAATATAGTGTTGCTGGAAATATCAATGTCATTATATTGAATAGCTCTGTACAGGTCAAAATCTTGCAATTGATCTATAAATATGTTTTCTTCGTACATGTTTAGCCCCACATTCACCTGAGCTTTTGACTCAGCCAAGCATATGGGTCTTACACTTCTGTAAAGTCACTACTTACACTCCTAAACTTTGGTTCAGTATGGCAATACCAGCACAGACATTCAACTCTTTAAATAAAATTATATTTTTAAAAAATCATTCCTTTATAAGCGATAAAGAACATCTAGATCATGGTGGCTTAAACGATCCTATTGCTTAAGATGCAAATCAGACCCAGTGCTTGCCAGAGAGAAAAAAAAAACAGAGTTAGATTCAAGCTCTTCACCTGGGTCAGGAATCATTCCTATATACCTGAACTTTCCCATTCTCCCTTTGCACTTCAAGGCAAGCAGGATACATATCCCTATTGCATCTGCAGTACAGAGTCATAGGCCTGTGCAGATAGGCAGCAAAGTAAAACAAGATTTGTCCTTGATTCAATCATCTTCCTTTTCTTACAATTAGAATGCTATATTTCTCTATTTCTCTATAATTTGCAAGTCTGCAAGCTGATGCAACCCCTCACTTGAAATTCTTTCATTATATTAAGAGTATTAAAATGCATATCCCTACTTGGTTGCTATATTAATCTTTTTCCATCAGAACTGGAAAAAATTCCTAAGTTTTTCATTGAAAATTTGAAAATCTTTGTTTTGTTGACTTGAAAACTTAGATGTTATAAGGATTTATTTTTCAATCATTCATGTTTTCCAGCTTGATTTTAACACCAAAGAAAACAAAAATCTATGATAATGTCATCTTTTATGACATCTCTCTTGGTCAAAGTAAGCTCTATGACACATTTCAGCTTCAAAGAGCTCCAGTGCTTCCTTTATGTTTAATGATTATGACACAGACTCAAGTGATCTGCAAGATCTGCAAGAAGGCAGCAAAATCAGCCACCAGCATGCAAGAGTCAGGACTGTTTATTGTCAGACCTGAAAGACTACAAAGAGTGCAAAGTTTATATAGATTATGTGCACATCAGCCATGTGGTTAATGATTCACAAGGCTATCACCATATCTTAGTCGGGATGGAATATGCTGTGGGATGTCTCAAATGAATTGTGTGTATAGCACTGCTTGTATGCGGTCAGAGGCTGTGAGCTTCATATGTGGCAGCACCAGCAAAATCATCTGAGATGTCTGAAACATTAAATAGCTTTATCTCAAGCTGAAGAACTGTGTTAGGCTTATTTCCTAGGCAATAAAAAGCATTTGTAAAGAACCAATGCAATTTCATTTTGAAATACAGGGATTAATGGCACACAATGCCAGTAATGGTAGTTAAATCTGACCTCCAGCAAGGATTATTATAATCCCATGGGGTATTCCTCTGCAACTGTTTTTAAAAATTTTACTTCCAACAAAAAAGTTAGCTGCATCCTTCCATAGTCCTTTAAGGAGCACGAGGACTCTTTTCTATCCTGCTGCAGCCTGGTGCACTTATGCTATGAGGTTAAACCTGCCCAGGACTGTGCCTGCTGCTTAGGCACAGCCATTTACTCCTCTTGCCTTCCAGTGAGGGCAATTATGTATTGAGAAAACTCCCATCAGGAGCTCCCACTTGTGTTCAGAAACCACTTGACTAGCTGATGCAGACCAAAACCATTCCAAAGACTAGCTAAGTGCTTACCTTCTAGCATGGACATTATCAAGAAGAAACAAAACAAAAAAATTAAATAAAATTATGTCTTTCACAGAATCATTAAGTTTGGAAGAGACCTTCAAGGTATTCTGGTCCAACCCTCAACCCATATTCAACACTAAACCACAATCCAAGTGTCACATTCAGCTGCCTCTTGAGCAGCTGCAGTTACAGTGACTCCATCACCTACCCAGGGAACTTACTTCAATATCCAGCCACTCTTTCAATGAAAAAATGTTTTAATATCTAATCTGAACCTCCCCTAGAGCAATTTAACGTCATTTCCTCTTACCTTTTCATTTGAGACATGGCAAAAAAGACCAATCCCCACCTCGCTACAACCTCCTGTCAGGTAGCTCCCTCAGCCGCTCCTCACAGGACTTGTGCTCCAGACCCTTCACCAGCTCCATCGCCCATCTTCAGGCTCACTCCAGCACCTCAATGTCTTTTTTGAAGGGAAGAGGCCAGAACTGAACACAGCACTTGAGGTGTGGCCTCACCAGGGCCAGATACACAGGAACAATCACTTCCATGGCCAAACTACTTCTAATACAGGCCAGGGTGCCATCGGCCTTCTCGGCCACCTGGGTGCAGCTGGCTCGTGTCCAGCCGCTGTCAGCCAGCATTTTCAGCTGAACAGCTTTCCGGCCACTCTTCCCCCAGCCTGTAGCACTGCCTGGGGTTGGTGTGACCCAAATGCTGGATCCAGCACTTGGCCAACCTCATACAGTTGGCCTTGGCCCATGGATGCAGCCTTTCCAGATCCCTCTGCAGAGGCTTCGTGCCTTCCAGCAGATCAACGCCTCCACCCAGCCTGCTGTTGTTAGTGAGCTTCTGAGAATGCTCTCAATCCCCTCATCCAAATCATCACTAAAGATATCCAGCAGAACTGGCCCAAGCACTGATCCCGGAGGAGCACTGCTAACAACCAGCTGCCGGCTGGATGTAACATCACTCACCACCATCTCTGGGCCCAGCAATCCAACCAGCTTTTCACACAGTGAGGAGGTTCACTGTCCAAGCTCAGGACTGCAGAGTATAGCTACTGCACTGGGGATGCCAGCAATGACTTTTAAATTAATATGTAAGTGGGGTTTTTTCTCTTCTACAGCAGGTATCTGAGAGGTTTATCTAGTTGCCTGAACAATTTATTAATAAAGTGCTTTGTGACAAAATTAACATAAACAAATTGTTCTTGAATTTATTCATAACTCAGAAAACTCTTCATAAATGTTATTTACTTCACGGACAATTTCAGTCTGATTAACTAGAGCATCCTTCTTCAGGAGAACACTTGAACATGTTCTCAAGTTCCACTGAATTCAATTATTAGGTTAGTTGAGGGAATTAGTTACAAAGAGAGATTGGGGTGGAACACTGGACAAAGAAAAGCAGGAACTAAATAGCCAAGAAGGACAGAAAAGAAATATGAACAAAGCCTAAAGAAAAACAAAACAAAGCAAAACCAAACAAATGAAAAGGCCAAAAACCCAGAACTTGAATTTAAAGCTGGTGGCCTTGTTCCACTGTACTTCAGCTGTTGTTGGAATCCGTACCTCAGTCTCTTGTAGTTTTAGCACACACAGAGTAGAAAATGTCTTCTTTACTTCTCTTGTATCTTCATGACTCTTGCAAAATTCTTTATTTTATACAACTTTCCCTACAAAACTCTTTAAATAAACTTATCAGTAACATAGCACAAAGACATTTGTAAGCTGAATTAAGCACTTGTGATTTCATCCAAATTTAAAAAACATTAATGTAATATGTATTAACTAATTAGTGAAAAAACCTAAATAATGTTTACAGGGAAATGCAACAGCAATGCATTTGCAAGGACATAATGAGTACTTATGGAGAAAAATCCATGACAATGAATTAAGCACATGATAAGTAATGATTTGGCTGATTTACTCCATTTAGCACACCCTGCTACTATGATAACAGAAGAGATGCTCACACTATATAATTTACTCAATGAATTTGATTTTCATGTGAATAAAGAAACAATAAATCAAGCTGTGTGACACAAAAAAAAAATGCTCAAGCTCTCACTTTAAGAACCTGTCCCTGACACAGGTCATTTCTTCCCATATGATTGAACAACTAGACCAGAGCATGTGCAGGGATAGAGGCTAGATAACTAACCAAAAATCTAATCTGGAGTTCAGCACATGCTCCTACATGGCCAAATTTAAATGTTTTTTCCAGACTTGTATAGCATACTAGTTTAAGAAAAAGACATAAAAATAGTGACCCCATTGAGAACAAATTTTTATATTGTTCAAATTATGTGAATATTACCTGAGAATAGAGTTATCTTTTCCTCCCATCCATTGTCCAGTTTTACTTCCCTGTTACCTGCCTTTCTCTCTCTTCCCCATTCCTAGGAAAAAAATGCAGGAAGAAAGATCTTTGCTACAGTGTCAGTAGCACTGACATCTGGTTGTGTTTAAGTTCAAACCTTATCATAGATGTGAATGTTGGGTTTTAGTGGGAGGAACCAGCACCTAAAGTGTTGTGCTGATTTTAGCCCAGAGTTTGCAATCCAGAGAATCAAAGAGGTTGGTTTTCCTCCTCTGGGATCCCTGATTCCTTATGTTTATCTGAGAGTTAGGGTGTCTTAGAAAGGGATTTCAAAGATTAGGGTGCTAAAGAGGAACTGGTCTGGAAGTGGCTCAAAGGAAAACTGAGAAGACAGTATATCCTAATCTTTCCTCAACTGCTTCTTTTGGCTTCACTCAGGTTTACAGTGATTTATGTTTTCTCCAGGCTAAAATCTCTGGGTGAGTTGCTGCTAATAGCACGTTTTTCCTCAGGAAACTCTGCAGGTCTCATGTTTCTAGCACACCTTCTAAATTTTTCCCTCTGATGAGACCATATTTCTTCCTTCCTGGTAGTATTTATATGCACTGGTTTTGCATTCCAACAGAAAGAGCACTCAATGCTTAAGCACATAAAAGGCATATTCAGCACAGGAACAAAAACTTTCATATGTAGGCTTTGATATATTTACTTACCCGGCTTTGCCCACAGACACTGCAGATAGAGAACAGAGCCATTCATTAGAGATAAGCTCTTTCCAGACCTTTCTCAGCATGGAGACACATATATTTTTAACAAATTTCAGAATAGACTAAAACAACTTTCCTCCTCATCACCATTTGCAATATCAAACCGATGGCCATTTATTGTCATGTGATTCTATTCATATCCCAGATAAGACTAATTGCTTGTGTTTTAGAATGCAGCTTGTTGACAGCATATGGAAATAAGGGCAAGATAAAACATGCATTATGTAGAAACTGATTGAAAAAGACCTGACAGATACCATATCATGGTCATCTTGGTCACAAGTTGGATAACTAAATATATTCAAAAGCAAGAGTATAGACATCTTAGCTAATCTAGGTGAATGTGAATATTACCAAAACCCAAGATGTTGTTAGGATCCTAGGCTCTTAAAATTGCAGGAAAAGAGGCTTCCAGTTAGAGAAATTAAGCAGATTTAACAATTACCCTACTTGTGTTGTTACATTCCTAATCAGTTATAATATTTTCTCAAATCTGGGGATAGAATTTACCACATTTGCTCTCCAAAGGTGTCATTTATTGTAATCTTATATTATAAATTTAAAACATAGCAAAAGGGCCTTAAAATAATGCCAGCTGTGCCAGTTCTCAGACACTGCTTGGAGCCACATGGAGAGAATGGAAACACATCTCAAACACCTCTTTCCCTGTGATGGCCAGGGAATCTGGCAGGGGTCTGCTTCTGCATTCCTAAGGCATCCCATCTTCCTGGCCTTCAGCTGTCAATGTCCAAAGCAGAGCTTACACACGCTGTCTCCAAAGCATTGCTGTGCTTTATAGCTCACAATGAATCACATAGCACAGATGTGATGCTGTTTAGTGGAGCTGGAAGTTTAGAAAAAACACAAGTACAACTTCCAGTCTGAACTGACAGATGTAATCCATTTCCATAAAAGCAAGGACTGTTATTAAGGAGGATAAATAGAGGAATCAAAGTCAAATGTATGGTAAAAAAAGAGGCTGGTATATTACAGTAGCAAAAATAATTCAGACAGGCCCAGATTTGTGCAAATAATCAGGCCTCTTTAACTTCCAATTGGGCATCTCTACCCTTACAAATTCTCTCTTTGGGGCCCATATCAACACCACTATAACACCTCGTCATAAAGCTGCTGTGGAACTCCAAGGATGGCTGTGTCCCTGGGAAGAAGTAGCCTTGCTGTGGCTGGAATTGTGTCCATACAGCCCAAGTAGCATTTGAGCCTCTTCAGCTGAGTTCAGTTCCCTTCAGGGCCAAGTCTGCAGGCATTTTAAAACATCTGTTCCATGTCCATGTACATTACCTGGTGCTTGGGCTTCCTGCATGTACAGATTCCTTGAACAAGGGGTCCAGAAACACTGTGAAAAACATGTACAAAATTATCTCCTGAACCAGCAATGGAATCATACATCTCTTTCATTTTCAGATCCTGAACAGAATCCTGAAGCAAAATACCTTTTACTATGCTTCAAGAGACCCCACAGGGTCTTTTCCTTTGCTATAATGGCTCACTGGCTGGGGTTACTTCTTATTACACACACATTTTATATGTCAGCTGGGAGCTGATACATAGATACATGTTGTAAAACAGGCAGAAGACTTTCAATGTCCTTTATGGGCAAGTGCTTTAATCATTAGCCTTGTAAAGGAAGGATATAACAACACCTCCATCTGCAATCATTAAAAGAAAAAAATAACAAAAACAAAACAAAACAAAAACCAAATAAAAACCACCAAACACCAAAAAGAATCCCAGAAGATAAAACACCAGGGAGCCCCAAGTTGTTTGTGTCATTTTGGCAGGCTCTCCCATGCTGTGAATGACACTTCAGAGTAGCTTTTTATTCAGCTTCTTGTTATCTGGAAAAGAAAACACTTCAATGCATTTTTAATGAATTTCCTGTAGTTTGAAATGAAATTTTCTCAGTCAAGAAAGTAAAAATCTGCACAGAACAAACAGAAAAGGTCATTTAAGAAAAATAGCCAAGATTGCAATAAATACAGTGAGTACATCTGGAAACTTTGTCCATCCCAGAATGCCTTTGGCAATTTGTCCCAACAGCTTCACACCTCCTAGGTCTCCAGCAAGATTCCTTTCACAATATCTATCAGGGCTGACACATAATTTCCATCCAAAGGCTTTCATCAGCATTAAAGCAGTTCAGTGATACAGGTAAGTTCTCAATACCTCTTAAAGACCCTCCAGCAAATCTGAAAACCAAGTCTTTGATCTATAATATCTCCAAATTTTGCTGGCTTAATCACATCAACTCACACCTTCATCAACCCTCCCCTAATAGCATGAGGGTGCTACCAGTTCCTTCCTGCACTCACACTGGGGGTTACCTTCACCTTGTGTTTTGAATTCCTCCTCCAGGCCCACTCGGCTGTGCTGAAGTCATCACAACTGCCTGTCTCTCTGTGCCTGTGCTGCCTGCCCTCCTGACACGACGATTCCCAGCATAAGCTATGAAATACCACGAGCTACAGCCAGCCTTTTCCCAGATGCCTCTTCACTTATAGCTGGAGCTGTCATCTTGCTGGTTTCCTAGGACACTAGTGTCCAAACACTAGGGCATTTTAGTGTTACCATCTCAGACCACTGAACAGGCTGAGCAGGTTTTACCTTTATATACATACCAGGTCAGAGGCTGTTCAGTAGATGAACACATATTCAGCATTTGAGACCAAGGTTTTTATTCAAGGAACAGGATACTTAATTCCATCTTCTCCAGGGCCATTCCAAAAGCACATCCAAATACAAATTTGAGAATACAAACTTCAGACTGGTCCCTGAAGAAAGGAAGGAGGGAAAAGGGCAGAAGGCAATGGTAGGCAAAAAGCCAGAACCTGACTTCAACAACTGAGTCCTCCTCAGCTGTGCTTTTCTCTTAGAAGTACTAAGTACTACATATAAAAATAAATATATTTCAACGTGAATTGAGAGCACCTATTCCCAGCTCAATCTCAAATACTTCATAGGCCCATAGTAAGACCACTCAGACAGAAAACACAGGATCAATTCCCTTAAACTCAGACTGAATATATTTAAAACAGAAGTCTCGTGGTCCTAACTACCATAAGTGGATCTAGTGCTCTTAAGAACCACTAATCACACCCAGTATGCAAAGAGGTATTAACAATTAATTTAGGAGGTGTTTTTCACTGGCCCGGGTAAAGTTCCTAATAGTTTTCAGCCTGCAGGCTGAATTCCTCTTATACTACCAACAGACATAGTTCTAAATAGACATAAAACCTTACTCCAGAATCAAATGAAACTCTCCTTGGATGCTAAACAGGCCTTATCTATAACCTAACAGTAGAAATCCCCATTTAATCAATGCAAGTGATGTGAGTAAAATGTGAGCTGTGGGGTAGGGAGTATCATGCCATGTAGCAACAAGTGGCAGCAGCAGCATGTACGACTAATTTCTGCTACAGGCTTAAAAATGACAGCGACAAAAGCTAGGAGAAAGGGCTGTAGTCTCCCAAATCTATGATCTAGCTGTGGTTGTCAAACATAGCAGATTTCTTGGCATCAACATCTGTCCCTGAAGCAAGCAGCAATTACAGCATTTTGCAGCACTTTGCAGCACCGCTGACAGCTTTCAGCTCAACCTGCAATAAGATTTGATTGTCCTGGCCACACTTAGCAAAAGAAATTAGGATTCCCCACTCCCTGCTTTGCATGGGCCACTACTCATACCAAAATTATTTCTCCATACATGCCTCTATACACATATTTTTTGCAAGCTATGGTTCATTTTTGCTGAAACACAGTTTCTACAAGTCTGTGGCTTCTAATGTAAAGAAGCCTTTCCAGGCCCAAGAAAAGAGTAATAGAAAATCACTTTAGGTCATGTAAAGAAATAGAGCAGCTGATGAATGGTCTGTTGGCAGGTAAGGCAAGAAGGAAGTGCTCTTAGATTACCTCACAGGAATAAAAAATAAATAAGCTTGACAATAAAGTGAGCATTGCTAATCTGTGTATTATTTGTTTCTGCTGCTGTGAGAGAGGCAAGGTTTAGCTTTTAGCTTGTTGACGTAGTGAGATACATCATGACAATGATACATCAGTAGACTGGTCTGCCATCTTAATAAAGCAGATTAACATTCATCATATTGCTCATGAAACCCATTCCGTTATCTGTTCATATCTAAAACATCAGGTTGATTGAATCATTTAGCTAGCGTCAATGTCACATCAATAATTTCAGGAGAATTCATATTAAAGAGGTTTACTGTATTCCTTCCTCTTTCTGCTTCAGGCCACAATTAGAAAGACAACTGTTTAAGAACTCTCACAATTGTATTTTATTTGACATCAGCAATACACTGGAGTATAATAGGAACAATTTTTTTTGCACAATCTTTCTTGCAAGATGGATTTATTTTCCAAATACATAGATGTTCATAATACAGGAAGGTAACAGTTAAGCTGCACAATAGCAAAACAAGTTGACAGCTATCAAACCACCTTTTAAGTTTGTTCGTATAGTCAGGTGACCAGCATTGAACATATTATTCAAATAATTTTGTTTACCTCTGATTCTTAAAATCTTCCCAACCACATTGTTCCATGCAACTAAAATGTGCACCAAGAATAGTGTAAAAGAATTCAACCAAAGGCTTCCCTTGCTTTGATTTCCTTTTAATTTTTCCCCATGTATGAGCCAATACAAAGGGATAAACATCAGAATTTGAAATGGCACAGGAATTCTTGCAACATGCATCCAGGACAGCCACATATTGCAGAAGTAGTAAGTTATTGACAGAGAAGATAGGACTTTCCTGCAGGGGGTGTTTAAAAAGCATTTTTACTATGCTCACTTTATTTTCTGCATGCCACTACTTTTACAGAAAAAAAAAGATAAAAGTACTTCCAAAAGCTTCATATTTTTCACTGGTAGTCTTCCTTGCAATGTCTAAGCCTAAACTGAGATGTCTTGGTTGCAATGGACAGGGCTTCTCAGGAAAAGAAAAGTTTACAGTAAAGCAAAATATCAGTAAATACTATCTTTTTTTTTTTTTTTTTACTTCTTTTCATTTTCAGCTTAAAATGACACAAGATATAGCAGCTGCTACACATCACATATAAATTCTTTTTTTTTTGGTTTCTCAGTTGGTACATAGGTCTTAAACTTCGAATTAGCACAGAAGTTGATATCTCCCAGCCTGCCTCTCAGCTGTGAATTTGTGAGTAGAAAGAGTGAGAGAAAGGATGCTCTCCATCATTTGTTAGATGGACTGATTTTAACAGCTCACTGAAGTACCTCAGCACTTTGGAATATCAGGACTGGCAGAGTGCAAGGGTGGTAGGTAAAGGTAAGGAGAAAAAGGTACCCAGGGCAACTTCTAGGCACCTTATTTACTTACTACCAGCAAGTGTCTGCAGATGGACTTTTAACATACTGTGCTCTGTATGCTTGCTAGTGATGCAGCACAGAGCACAAGTGGGTTGGCAGTGCTAGCAGTCATGCAGAAAATTTAGAAACCTGAAAACTTTTTTCTGTTCTACAACTGACCTGTATCTCAAGCAGACAAAGTTGGTTTATGCCACTGCACTAGCACTGGATCTTGAAGCCCACCCCTAAATCCTTACACACCATATTTTAGGACTCCTACCCTACTCACACTGTGCCTTGCTGCTTGACAGCTAGGGTTTATCTGCCCCTGGCATGGATGCACATCCTCTCCCTGCCCAGTTTCTGCTGTCCATCTGGTGATGGAGATGTGATGCACAGAGAGCCTGTGGCTAAAGGGAAGGGATGGGAATCCCACACCATCCCAGAAACTGCTGCTCCTCACCTCAGCCATGCAGCAAGGGAGCATAGTCAGGGACAGAACTTGAACAAACCAAAACAGCGCAAAAGTAGCAGAACATGCCAAATAGTAGGTTTAGATTGTTCATTTGGGAAGTTTAAAACAGCTAATGAGCAGCCCTTAAATCTAATTCAACTCTTACATCTTACCTCAGCAAAATGCTTCAGCTCTTTTTATCCAGAACTGGGATACCTTCTCCTGCTGAGCACATTGCTCCATCATTCACAAAAACATGCTCCTAACTCAGCAAGGCCAGCATTGAGTGCCCTCCTAACTGGACTGATGTACTGAACCTAAAAATTCCTAGGTCTTCCACAGTTCACCCATGGCATAGCAGAAAGAAATCTTGAAAGTGTACAGGGAAGCTGGTTAATTGCATATACTTAGTAAGATCAACTGAGAATGTGAAGATGAAAGAATGTCTTTTTTTCGCTTACATATAATTTCTTATCTGATTTCACTATATTTATGCATATAATAGCCAGAGAAGTGAGAAGTAGCATTATAAAACCCCTCCACAGAATTTTCCCACCTTCTGTTTATATATCATCTCCACGTTCTCCAAAGAGAAAAAATACAATCCATGTATTTATGAAGTGGCTACTGAATATCCCACAGCTAAGCAGCTATCTTTGTGAGATAATCACAGACAGATGTTTGCATAGAAGTATTTCCTACCTTCCTGAAGTTTGCAATGGAACTTATGATTTCCATGTCTGCAGGTGAGGAAGACTCATTAAAAAAAAAGTTTAAAAAAAATGAAAATAATTCAGCTTGATTTTCTTCTTAATAATTATGCAACAAAATGGAGAAATGTGCAATTATGCAACAAAATAGAGTATCAAAGAGAAACCCCCTTTTCCCAATGCTTAAGATACAGGGATGATGGTAGAGACATAATAACTATGCCTACAAAAAAGTCAGAGATGGCAGTTCTGTCTCTGGGAAGGCCCACAGGCTGCTGGCAGGAGACTGTGGGTACTTACCAGGCAGCAGCACTAATCAACTTTTGTTTCATTACCACACCTGCATTTCTCATACCCACCACTCTCCATTTCAAAACATTTAGCAGATAGGCAAGGAGCAGACGACTGCAATAGACCTTGGTGCTCCTCTGGGATCTTCTGTGCTGTTGCAGAGCATAGGAGCAGTGCTAATCTGAAGGAAGTTTTCATTCTGCCCTATTTTGTACTCCAAAAAGGTATTTTCCATCCTACCCCTACTATTCCAAAGACCCTGATGCACTACAGGACAGTTTGGATGCACAGCAACATGAAGGCATTCCAGCTGGCAGCAGGAGCTCCCTCACATCTTTTCAGTCTTCTAGCCACAGCATCAGAACCCTTAGGGGAGATTAACTGTGCTGATCCTTGGGCAGGATTTGAAGTTGGAGTTGAATTCCACATTGCACTCAGCTTGCTCCTATGCTGCCTATTTGGAAAGGGGTTTAGGGGGTATTTTCATGAGTGGCTTAATCCAATATAAGCTCTGCTCAGCCTCTGAGAGATGCAGTCACACCCTCCTTACCTTCTTTTTCTGGCCACAGACTCCTGTCTTCTCCTACCTGAGCAACACAACAGCTCTCATGCACTCACAGTGGGCTACACACACACCTTTGCCTTTTGTGGGATCCGTGCTGTGCAAGTGCCAACTTGTGGATGTACATTTTCAGACTTGGCAACTCTAAAATGCAGGTGCAGCCCACAGGCTGTAGCACTGACTGGATTATCAGAAATGCTCAGCACTAAACAGCTCCCATGAATTCAGGTACAAGAATGAAGCCTTCAGATTTAGTAGGAAAGCATGATACTTTAAAAAGAACTGGTTGTTACTGTGATGAAAGCTGTTTTCTTCACCCACATCCACTCTGATAACTGAATTAAATCAGAGACAGTACTCTCTCTATTTAGTCTCTTAAGCAGAAATCAAGTTAAATGTTAAACATTCCAAAGTGCCTCATTACTGAGAATTAAATATATAGAGTCTCAGAAAGATTTAAAAAAATATTACTGTTTATATTTTGGTTGAGAAATGTTCTAAAACAAAGGGAAACAGTAAAACTTAATAAAACTCATTCTTTTTCCCTTCTCATTCTGTCTCCTAATTCTTCCTGGCTGACAAAGAAAATACTATTTTTGAAAACTTCAATGGAACACAAATGTTTATAATAGGACATTAGAAACTTTTCTTTAATACATTCTCATTATACTTATAATGAAGAAATAATTATTTCTAGGCTGTTTCCTGCCAGATGCAGTTCTAGTACCTCTATTAGGACATATCTTAAAATAACTGCTTCGTAGCAAGAAACTAAATTTTTCATCCATACTTAAGTTTTCCCTTCTCTCCTTTGCTCTCTCTTCAAATAACTTCATCGATTTGGGGTCTTTCCAAAATTCTGGCCTCTCTTTTTGTTGTTTTTTTTTTAGTCCATGTTTTGTAATTGGTATAATTCATAAAATCACCTTTGTGGAGAAAAAATTACTACAGGGGGCACAGGAGGTTTAAGAAAGCCTGAGAGAGCCTCTGTTTTAATGACAGTGGAGGTAAGAGGAGAATCCTCAGGCTGTGGTTTCACACCAGCATTAACCCAGCTCAAAGCATCAATCCAGGCTCCTCACACCCTCCTTTGTACCAGCACTAGGATGGGAGATCAGACGGATCCCATTACACTAACCAGCCAAAGGGAAACAAAGCAAAACTGGCGGTTTAGCTAGACAAATCATTTCAGCCTGCTTCCCCACAAGCACTGAAATACTTCCCCTCACACAAAGCAAGGCAATAAAGAAGGTGAGAGTTCTACATTCAGCAGTAATACAGTTTTATGGTAGAGTCATAAAAAAAGCTTGCAAAAAGCCCATGGATTCTGCTTGTAGTCCCTCTGGTGCAGACTGCTCCAGAAGATGGCAGAACATAAGCCAGCTCCAATTCAGAAGCCTCTCAGAATAAAAATGCCCCGAGTCCTGCCTTGCCTGATGTGCTCCATCAGCCCTTCAAACACAGGTTGAGCATTCAAGACCAGGATTTTTCACAGGCTGATTAATTTTTACCACAAAAGCACTGCTGGTATTGCTTTGCAAAGGCATATATCTCCAAATATTTTAAAGTAATTGCTTAAGAGCTCTGGCTATCTGAAACATCTCAAATCTTCACCACTCATCTGGTGATAGAGAATGTTACCACAAATTAACAGAAAAAAAAAAAAAAAGAAATACATGTACATACAGAATCATCTATTTATGAGAAGTTAATTTGACAACCTGGCACACCCTAAGAGAAAAGGAGATTTTCAAGCTTAGAAATATAAAGCATACCATGACATTACGCTTAGTAATAAGGTTAGCTATCTCATATTTCAAAATAACTTTGAAGAAATACATGTAGACATTCTTTACTTCTGAGACTTCCATCCTCATAGAAGTTTTACTTACCATGGAGATGAGCCACCAGCACAAGATGATGATGCAAGACAAAGCAGTGCTCAATTAAATTTTTCAGTGTATTGAGCTCAGAAGTAGAGCTGAGCACTTATACTGTCATCTGCTTCTTCTACCAAACTCCAGTTAAATATTTTCCAAGGATGAAGCATATTCACAAACAGTGATTTCCTTTAAAGTTTCTTTATGTCATCAGATCATCCACAGACTGCTGTCAGTTAACAGCAACCTGGATACAACATTCACAAAGACACTAAGTAAATGTTGACACAAGAGCAAGATGACCAGCAGGAAATAACCCAGATCTTCATGTTATTTCAAGATTAATTCAGTAATATCACACTCTTCCTACACATCTTGTTATTGAAAACAGGTATACAAAGACAGTGATAAAAAAATACCTACCTCATATGGTGTTTCCATCCAGAAAGGTATTCTTTCAATACAGAATTATTAGCAAGTGCATCTTGAGTTTGTCTCCTTAAAATTCAGGGAAATTATATTATTTCAAGGGATATATGTATATATGTACCCAGGCTGCAACAGCATTAGTATTTTTAAATGCTTCAACTACACTAACTTTTTAAAAACCGTTTAAAAATTGATGGGAGTTTGGAAGGTTTTCTAGAAAAGGGAATTTTCAAGGCTTTTATTTTGCCACTGTTATTTTTATTTTGAAAAAGCCATCATGCTCTCAGTTCCTCTTGCACAAGAAAATGAAAATAGAATTATGACTTAAAAAATCTAGTGAACTGCAATGCAAAAAATCTAGTGAACTGGTTTGCTTTGAAATCCTTTCCAGTGGAATAATACAAAAATCATAAGAAAGTCTAAGAGATACTTTTAGATGCATTAAGTTATGGACTAGAAGACAATGCCATTCAATTCTGAAATAAATACCTAACACATTTCTAACTCATGTAAAAACAAATTATGTTTTTCAAATACTATCAATTTTTACAGTAATTGCATTTTTCATTCCCTCCAGTTAACACAGAATATAACATTAGCAAAAGAGATCTTTACAGGGTGCTCTGTACTTCGCACTACTCTCACTTGCCTGGGATGTGGCAAAAATTGACTTTCAGAGTCTGATTTACTCAAAATACACTGAAACTCTCCCCACACTCACATTCTACAAAATAGCTACATCTTGACTCCAGGGAGAGGACTACAAATGAAGATTGTACAAATTAATGCATATCAGACTCTTAAAATGGCACAGTTTTCCTGCCAGTAAACTTCCCATTTAAAGTGCACTGAAGTAAATGAAAAACACATATTGGTGTCAGTGGATACCAGTAAAGATTCTTAAAAAAAAATGTAAACTCACCTTGGAAGTCCACAGTGAAAGAAATACAAGTTCTTGGGGAAAAAAAAAAATCTAAATAATTTTAAAATATGCTACTGTCATTTATCTTAATTCTTTTTCCTGGATTTTTTCCCTTGTTTTTTTAGGGTTGGTTTCTGGTAGTTAATACTGACCTCCATAGAGCTATTTGCCCCTCTAATTTTCTTTGAGTATGAAATTTTGTTTATGCAGTCTTGTTCTACCACATATTAATAGAGGAGCTGTACTGTTTATGCTTTATTGCTTTACTCCTGTCAGAGTATGAAGGGAAGCACCTCCTCTTCTCCCTACTTAGCACTGGCCTGCTGCAAACCTACTGCTGTATGGCCCTGAAGTTCTGTAAGACTTCTACAACTTTGATCATCCTTGGTTTGATCGATATCATCAGCACATGTTATAGTAAACCTAGGCTTCTCAACACAGCTGCTTTTTTTCTAATCTATTATTCAGTCCTAGGATTAAATAAAACCAAGGGTGGGTTTTTGTCAGCTGTCTGTATTGCAATTCATAACCAGTGCTAGCCACACAAACCCTTATTTTAGTGAGGTCAAGCCCGGCTGGCAAGTCCCAGGAAGACAAGGTACAACTCACCAAAATTTCTTTCCTCCTTAATCTTCTAAGTCAAGCAAAAGTTATAGGAAGTATGCAAAGTCCATGATCTACTCTGATACCCAGACCTCTTGGCAGCTTTTGGGATTTGTATGTATAGTGTGCTATAGCACACTGAAAAAAGTACCCTAAGAAATCTGTAATATCTATGGGAAAATGTCCCAGATGGCCAATGTGTCTCTTACAAAGCCTGTGTGTCATTCTCCCATTCTGACCTTCCCTACACGTCTAACAGCACAAGGAACATAGGAAGTTAGGCTTTGGATAAATTGGTTAAATAGATACTGCATATCCTGATGTTCTCACATGGCATACAGACAATGAGCTACAGCATTGAGGGACACTGAGGCCAAATGACATACACAAGGTGCACATTAAGTAGAAGAAGATGGAATTCTGGATATAACAAAAGCTGAGTTCATTAAATTCTTTGTACAAATACTGGTTAATCCTATTAAATACATTTACTTGGTTTCCCCATTTTTTGGTAAGGTCCATCCTGAAGGACGATGATGAGATGCCAAAGGCTACACTTGAGCACCCTGTAATCAATAACTCTCCTCTCCTGTTAACAGAAGAGCTCTTATCACATTCCTTATTAAACTATTTACCTCTTTCATTCAATTATTGTCTAGTTTACTTGCCCAATCAAAGTGTAATGTAGAGTGGATAACAAAATAGTTTAAAATCTTTTTTCTCCTTCAAAGACACATGGGAGAAGAAATGCACTACAAACATCCATTTGATGGAGATAAGTCAATTTTTTAATAGAAGGAAAAACAGATTGCAGTACTGCTGGTGAGCTCCAAGAGTTCAGGACACCTTGAAGGTCTGGGGTCTAAGTTTGCCACCTTTCTCATCTTCATTATTTTCACAGTTGCAGTGAAACCTGTTAATCATGGGCTCACAATTGACTACAAACTACACTTCAGTTCCTGTGAAGGTAATCTTCCTGAACCAAGTTTTTAAGTGTTTTTCTCAAGTGACTGCATTAGTGGTCAGGGCTGCATCTTTGCAATCTGTAGGAGTTTTGCTGCTGTAACAATGTCTCTGAGGAAACATCAGTGGAGAACTATCTCTATTTCCTTGTAAAGATTTTTGTCTTTCCCTCCACTTTTCTTTCCTGTTGATAGATGTGAACTTTTCTGAAGTGTTTGGTTAGTTTTAAGCCATTATGATACTATAAAAAAAAAAAAAAAAAAAGATTGCTCAACAAAGCCAATAGGAAAATAGAACAAAAACCTAAAATTATAGCTCCTGTAGAGTTCATCTCCCTGAAACTCATCTCTAATAAGCTATTTGGTCACTAAAATGATCTCTGCAACATTCCCTTAGGATTTCAGTTAGCAGTTTTGAACATTTGGGCTGCTATATTTAGTATATTCCTCCTTTTGTGCTTTCAAGTTACAGTATCACTGAGTATATTGCAGGCTCTTTTTCATTTTACTGTTTCTGATCATTCAGGGAGATTAAAGACAATGAAGAACTACTGTTAACAGGAAATTTCTATTTACATTGTCCACATGTACTTGGGAAAGGTAATTATGGCAATTTCTTCATCTGCTGCAACATAAAAATGTAGTACAGTTCAATAAATTAGTCCTAGGCTCATCATGATTTTTTTTTTAATATACTTCATTTTGAATTTAGGCATGGAAGTGTTGGAAGATATTTCGGGAATACACTAGATATTTAAAATACACAACTTTTTCCATGGTATCACTAAAATTTTCTCCCAAAATGGAAGAATAGAAATAAATATCTGTAATTTATTATTTTTCAGCCCTTTTCCCTCTTTATAGGCCTTTAAACAGAAACTACAAGTGAATTCAAGCAGCACATTTAGACCAATCAGCCTGAACTAGTGTTGATCCCACTGAACAACACACTTGAAAAAGTTGATTATAAAATCAGTATACAGGGATAGGTAGAAAGAACAGATAACTGCTTCTAATGAATTGTTTAAAGCTCTGCCTGTGAAAAAAACATCTAGGTTTTCATCAAAGAGTAATTTCAATTACTTCTGGTGCAAAAACTAGGTTCTCCACACAGGTCACCATTCTTCATGCTAGAAGTATTTTATTATTTGCGCAATTATGATCAATAGTTGCCAGAGGTTTAGCTTTGTTTATTCTAGTTTAACCAAATAAATAATCCCTTGCATACCATCTTCTATTCTAACAATTCGTAACAATGTGACCTAATTAGAGAGGAAACAGCTACAGCAACTAGCAGTACATCCAAAGATACAAACTACTGCAGTTAGACATCTTGCACGGGTGCTCCATTTCCAGTTCTGTGATATGCCATGTAATGTTTTTCTAATGAGTGCTGTAGTCTCAGCCATCTTCCAGATGTAAAAGATGAAAAAAGCAAAAACCATACCTGGCCTTTTGAGAGCATCCCTTAAGTAAAAGAAAGACTAAGGCAACTGATTATACTCCATTATAATAAAGTTATGTAAGACATTCCCACTGCATTCTATCATCTACAGTTCATTATTACACATGAAAGGATCCAAACTACAAATGAGTGATGTAGTATCTCTTGCCAGGTATCTCCCAGATCCCACAAGTTAAAGGTCATGTTCTCAGCCATGAGCTGGCTAAAAGGCTTGGAGAGAAAGAGGCACTGTCATAGTTTCACCATTATGGGGTCTTTTTACCCTGACTCTTGTTCCAGTCTAAGGCAGTCTTATGCAGGCCTTTTTTTGCCAGCAGCTTGGGGTCTCCATAAATTCCTTGATCATTTTCTCGACACAGAACCACCCAACACTCACCTGATCTGCCCTGCAGCATACAACTTTGACAACAGGCTACCAATCTGTTATTCAGTCAACTAACTGAAGCTAAAGATTAGTCCAGACCCTTTAAAGGCACAGCCAGATCATAGCTGAGAATTTGGCCTTTGATTCTCACTTTTTACCTGCACAGAAACACTAACCATTTGCCAAGCCAGACAGTTCTGTACAAACATTTATTTTATTTATTGGCAATTTGTTTTCTATCTCTTATAACGAAAATAACATTTATGATAAATATTTCTATCAGGTTTAACTATTCAATTCTTTAATAATGTTGCCTGCTTGCATACTGCAATTTAGAAAGAAAAGCACCTATTTATGCCACATTTTAAAGTAAAGAAATGGATCATAAATTAACATTTTTAGCCCGGGATCCACCTAGAAAGTTTACTTTCTTATTTATATCACAGCAGTCCTTCTCAAAAAGGGTGTCTTTTATTCACTCAGTGACATGCCACACTTATCTATGCACAGGAAATGGGGCTTTTTTTGCTTAATTTCCAAGCCACTTTTAAAACTGTGTTGAAAATTTAGCTTGATACAAACACTACATAAGGAGGTGTGTGCAGAGGGGAATGGATACGTGTTTAAAGGAAATCAGGAGTATAACTGAAAATTATGGGGCAAAAAAACCAAACCCAAACCCTAAAGCATCCAAAGAAAAAGCAAAGAATTCAAATAAAATGTTGAACATTGTGGTCTGGTCCTCATCTACTACAACTGATGTAATTTAGGAATAAATCCACTCAAGCTGGTCTGCAAGGTCGAAGAAGAAATGCCCATTTAAGATCACCTTACCAAACAAGAAAATCCAATTTTGAGAATTACATTAGATTTCAGATTTTACAAGGTTCACTCATTCTCTAGTTTGGTGTGAGAATTTCCCAGGTTACAATGCAAAATAATGCTTAGTAAAAATATATGGAGCTCTACAACTCCTTTGCATAACTTCCTGGAGTTGCACTCTCCCAGGCTGGACTTTCTTCCCTTTTGCCACTCTTGATTTTCTTCCCCCTATTCTGTCAATTTTAATCTATCAGGGAAAGTCTTTTTCTAGCAAGCACTGTCAAAAAATACAGGACATAGACCTCACACTCAGAGAATGCAATGCTGTGTCCAGACAGCAGTGCTAGGTGCCTCAGGCATTTGTAATAGCCAACATGCACATTTCTAGCAGTCAGATGTGTTCCACTGCACAGCTGTGCACCTCTGCCTCTGATTTTTTTCAGGTGCATGTTCCTCCTAAATGCAAGTTCTGTGCAGCCAGAGTAGTTGGTTCATTGCTAGCTGAAAGGAGGAAGACCAATACTGTTACCCATCACTCTCTTAAGAGTTAACTAATTATCCCCAATAACTCCAGCCTTTAGAATGGGAAAGTACCACACAGCTTTTATAAATAAGAGTTACTGACCTTTTAAAATAGTTTCAAAAGAAGAAACTCTGCATCAAATGTGAGTATAATTTAGGAACTACTACATAGCAGCAAAACTACATTAGACTTTCTGATTTTTCCATGGTATCCTTGGATAGATACACCACCCAGTAGACCATGTTAAATGCTCCGAAGGTTACAGGAAATAAAATGCGTGCATATTTGTCTATCTTACTCGTGCCAGAGTGGGAGGCGGGGGGAGGAGGTGGTATGACAGCAGATGGCTTTGCAGATGCTCCTAATGTATTAGGTGTGGTGGTCTGAATCTGCTCCAGTCTAGATCCAAGCAAGTGCTGAATGGAAGGGGATCCAGCTGTGGCATGCTGGGATACAAATCCAGTTAAAATTGGGGTAGAAGGAGGAGCTGGAGGGGTAGCTCTTGCAGAAGATAATGTCTCCGATGCGTTGATTCGTGTGAAAGGGTTGGGACTTGATGCAGAAAGGGAGTGGGGTGTAATGTCAGAAGACCCCTGAGCTACAGAGGGAGGCTGGACAGAGCTGTGCCTTGTGTCAATTCGGCTCCCACCATCAGCTTCAGACTGTACCGTGGCATTCGTTCTTTTCCTCACATTTGAATTGGCATCTGTACTCTGCAAAGTTACAAAAAAATACTTGTCATTCTTAAAATAAACACTCAAACAAAAGCAATGGAAACTATAATCAAGCACTACCCGAGTAATACTCACAAATATAACCATAGCTTGATCCTGAAGAACAAAAATACCAAAACTGATGAAAATAGATTTAATAGCATATAAAGTGAGAAACAAGAGCTCCTTTTACCTGTGGCTGGAATACCAGTGAAGACATATAAATGTGTCACACTACATGTGGTGCAGTACCTATAGAAACTGAATACTATGAAGCTAAAGATTCTCAGGTTAGAGTCACAGCTTTTTCCAGGTTCAAGCTCAAAACAAGATTCTCCAATGTCTACCTATTTCTCTGATGATATAAAAACATTCTAGATGCAACTTACCAGTCATTGAAGGTTTATTTATTCTTTCTATCTCCAGAAAAATAACTACCATACACTAGGAACTCTAGTCTTCTACAGAAGAAGCTGTTAAAATGCACGTATTCAGCAAACCAAGTTATCACATTGCTGCTCTTTCAGAAATAAAGCCAGTGCTTTTTCACATCAACCATAGGCAATAAATTTACCAGGCACAACTGAACCAGGGAATAAATTAGCCTTTCATCAACTACTCCTGTCCATTCTTTAAGTAAGAGAAGTGGTGAATTATCCATCACTCGGTGTCTTCAGGCAAGTCTGGATGTCCTTCTGAAAGATATTCTTCAACCAAATAGTGCTTATTAGGCTGCATGAGAAACCAAAATACAGATAAGGAAGTACAGGAATAGGAAATCCATCAGAGTTTAACATTCTATTGACTTTTGGGAGTAGGACTTGGCCTCTGCCTTTCTTCTCTGCACTTAAGAGGAAGACTAACATCCTTCTGGAAAGGTATCTAAAGAATTCTGACCTTCAACACTGCACCTAAATATGATGTAAAACATATAATACTTTAGATATGATATGGGAATGTCTTCTAATTAAGATACAAACTGCTTTCCAGAAGACAAAGACTTGAGGACAGATAGGGTACACATAGAGTCTAAATATAGACTGGAGGAAACAACCACTTGCTATTATATAAAAAAATCCTATGTTTTATGCCTCTCCGATGATACCATTCCCAAGCATTGCCCTGCACCACACCAACTGTGCCTTTGGCTTCCCTTCCCTCCAGCCTTCCCAGAGAACCCTGCCAAAACTCACAGCAGAAATCAAAGGGAGAGAACGCAGGCAGTGATGTCTTTCCTCCATCATCCAACAGCAGTTCTCTCCAGCCAAGTGACAGAGCAGTAACAGAGAGTAGGTTAGGTGTTATTCAAGGTACTAACAGTACCTTGAGTAGTGACAAGAGTGACACTGTGTCTGTCTGCTACACCATTTGTGTTTCACTGTTCTGCTCAAGGAAACAGAAGATTAAGCTGAAAAGAAATCTAAAAAAAAAAAATCAAATCACTTGGAAGTATTCCAATCATGACCAGAATGCTGGTCCCTAATCCTGTTAATTGCAGTACAAATCTGTCACTGGCAATACTGTTGGCCTGAATTTATCTGAAACTGTCGCAGCTTTATTCTTGTTCATGCCTTATGTATTTGCCAGCTCACAGTTGATATATCAAAGAATCCCTCTTAAATTCCAGTTTTCCTTCCTGAATAGAAGCATGTCAGTCCCTTTTATTTATTATTCTGCATCTGCAATCCAAAGAAGCAGAGAACTAGAAGAAGGAAATACCAGAAGAAGCTGGTATTTCCTGAAAGAAACACTAATTTTACTGTTTGATAAAAAAGCCTGAGTCACTCTTTGGGAAGTGCAGAAGTACACACAGGTGTGAAAATTGAATACTTTCCTACTAGGGTTTTCAATGGCCCAGGAATAGTAAAGCCATTTTCAATACTGCTAAATTGAAATGAAAAAGTACAGTCAGGACAGGGGTACATTTACTAGAGACTTGTTAATACCTGATGGAGTGCTGCATGTTACTTGAAGGCTTGCAAAGCTAAGGAGATGGAAGTCATCAATGTTCACTGCCCAAAATAACATCTCTGTGCCATGGAGAAGCTGGCATTAGTCAATAAGAGGTGAGTTTTACATGCAGATTCTTGGACAACCTGGCTTTGCTCAAGTATGTGTCACACGTTGTAATGCTCTCAAGCAGTGCCTGGGAAGCAAAAATCCCTGGGCTGGGACAGGAGTTGCAAAGTAGATCTGCACTGGAACCAAGACATGTCTCGGTCCCTTCATATTCTTGCCTACATTAGACAAGTATCTTAGAAGAATAGAATTACCATGGAGAATAGAATTACCATGTCTTCAGTCACTCCACATGCAACCATAAAGAATAGTCCAATGAGCAAAACAATAAATTAGGTGCAATTAATTTACAGAGGCACCATTTTATGTTCTTGCTCCCTTATACTGTTACCTGTTTTCAATGACCATCTCAGTATATTTCCCTTTTGTGCACCATCATCTACAGACACAGGTAAAACATACAGGTAACAGCAGGCTCCTCACATTCTAGTCATCCCCATTTCTTTTGTAGGAACTTGTTTCCATCAAAATATTTGCATAATACCTCATCTTCCTCCCTACTTCAACTGTCATCTAAATGACCAAATCAGACCTGTTGTTACTGGATTCACTACTTATTTTCCATTACAATCTCTTCTAGAATAAAATTATCTATACTACTTCAAATGGACAAAATGTGTATCTGTGTAAAAGCTTACTGGGCATTTGTTTTCTTGTTACTGACACATAAAACTTCTACTTCAAAACCTTAAGTTTAGAGAGAAACACAATTTTCTCATAACGTACACATAAATGTATGCATAAAGCCCGAATACATAACATTGTAAGATTGAAAAATAACACAGCATAACAAGCATCAAAAATGTGGGTACATTTTTTGTTCATTCTCTGGAAACCACCATCCAATCACTCAGAGTATGAAAATCAGAAATGGCATTTTTAACATGCTCCAGACAATGTATCACAGACACCTGGTTGTTCTTGCATAATGTCACTGTAATCGTTTCTATTTGTGTTCTTGAGTAGAATCTTGCTCTTGAAAGGTACTGAAACAAGCATGCTTCATGGAGAACCCAGATGCATGCCTTGTCAAAACAGCAGAATGCAGTCTCCTTGTCAGGATGGCCTCACCAGCACATTGACCATCACATCTCCTCATTTATCCTTTCCTTGCACTTGTTTTACTCAAAACAATATCATGGCAATACTTCATTCTCCTCATTTAAAGCACTCAAGTATTACACCTTGTTGAGTTGTCCAGTTAAAAATTTTCTAGCAAAAATTCTTATTACTGGTTTTATACACAGGGCTCTTGTACATTTCTCTATTCAACATCATAGGAATCACAATCTACATCATAGGAAGATTAGTGACAAGGTCACTAATAAAAATATCAAACAAGCCTGATTCTGTGGCAAGCCTTAACGACTCAAATTCTGTTGTAAAACATAGTAAAATACAATGCTCAGTTTTTGTTAGGAAAACATTCCACAGTCATTTCAGTATTTACCCCTAGTAAAAGAATAATGTGATAATGACAATCTGACCAACAAAACTATAAATGTATGCAAAGCACTTGCTACCTCCCAAAAATATTTCACTTTATCTTTTTTAAAACAACAGCAAGAAACACAAAACTACCACCTTTTAGTTTGGAAGCACTGACTACGTTTGTGTGGCAAGGTTTGCATGACACAGGGGAGGGGTGGCTTCTGTGAAAAGCTGCCAGAAACTCCCCGTGTGTCTGACAAATATGCACCTGCAGCCCATGGAGGTCCCCATGCCAGTGTGGAGCAGCCTGTTTTTGAAGGACTGCTCTCCAAGGAAGGGACTCACACTGCAGCAGTTCATGACAAACTGCACAGCCTGGGAAGGACTCACACTGGAAAAGTTCATGGAAGACTGTCAGCCCCAGGAGGGGCCTCACACTGAAGCAAGACAAGAGTGTGAAGATTCTCCCCCCTGAGGAAGGAGTGGCAGAGATAACTTGTAATGAACTGAGTGCGACTACCATTTCCCATCCCCCTGAACCACTGTAGGGCAGGAGATTAATTCAGGAGTAAATTTAAGCACAGGACAAAGGCTGCAGAGAAGATGTTTTAAGATTTAGGGTTTTTTTTCTCATTACCCTACTCTGCTTTGAGTAGTAATAAATTAAACTAATTTTTCCCAAGTTGACTCTGTTTTGCCTGTGATGGTAATTGATGAGAGAGCTTTCCCTGTCCTTATCTTGACCCACAAGCCTCTTGTTGTATTTTCTCTACCCTGTGCAGTTTAGGAGAGAAGGAATAGAGCATCTTTGGTGGGCACCTGGTGTTCAGCCAGGGTCAACCCATTACAGGCAAAAAAACAAGAAATATAACATGAAAAACAAATAGGAGCCAAATGAAAATGCAAGCCAAGATAGGAAGGGATTATCCATGTAAGGAATCTTTTATGAGGGCAAGTCAGGAAACCACTCAATTGTCCTGAGCCAACAGGACTGCCGTGCTAGTCCAGAAGGGGCTCCACAGCAAACACCGAGTGCCCATTTTTCATATTCTCACTCTAGATTAAGAAAAGTTCTGATTTTCTGGAGGCATTTCAGTAAGACTTTTGGTAGACATTTAAAATTGTGCAGCTCAGGAATGCAAAATTGGAGCCTGGAAACTACCATAACATCCAGTGCAGCCCCAGGCTTAATAGATCTGATAAATTTTGCCTGTCAATAAAACAACAAATTCTGCTTAGGTAAATGACACCTCACCTTTTCTTTGAAACAGTCTATCCATCTGATAGGTCCAACCAATTAGTCCAACCAATTCCACACACACTAGAAACTCTGATCATAACCACCAACAAATCAGAATTTGTTAGCACTTTGCTCTGATATAGCCTCCTTCAAGAGGAAACCTTTTTGCTATAGATCCTATCAGAAGAATTCAGCCTCTGAACCGTTACTGACAGAAACAGTATGGATGAATTTCAAAATTTTGGCTAAT